GATGCTGATCCATTTCATCCTTATTAACATCTCATCACATTTATTAGCCCCATTTTGCAGACCAGGAGCCTGAGGCTCTCCAGAGAGGTAAAGTCACTTGCCCAAAGTCACACGGCCCGTTGGTGCCACAGTGGCCTGTGGGTGGAGGGGACAGGTTGGCCATGCTCTTAAACACTGTGCTGTAGCATCTGTTGACATCAGGGTTATTAAAATGCTGGTGATAGGAAAGATGTAGCTAGACTCAGACTTCCATGAAAAACAGCAATTAGAGTAACTTATGAATTTACTAAGTAAACTTCAGTTTGGTTGGACAAATGTGGGCCTCCTCTAACCCTTGCATCTACTCTAGTTATCAGTTTACCTACTTCTCATCTCAGAGGCCAGAACTAATGACTGGGACCAAGATGAAGTTTTCGAAGTGGAGCCATGTGAGTGGGTCACCATGACATGGTAGTTACTAACTCTCTCTCCCTCCCTCCCTTTCTTCCTTTCCTTCCTGCTCAATATATACTTATTACTTAATTTACGTACATAGCACTTTTTCTTACACCCCACCACCCCTAAAAATGAACCACTCCCAAATTTCTGGTGAATCAAATTTAGGCGAGCCTAGGAGTAAGAGAAATAGGTCCTGCCTGCATCTTCCTCTCATGGTGGCTGTGGTGGATCTGGTACCTGAAATGAACCTGGCAAGGCCTGTGGGCAGAATGTTCTTGATCCAAAGCCTAGCAGCTCCCCTTCCTCTGGAGATTGTGCCCCAGCTGCTATGTGGGGTGGAGCTCAGGATGGCCGGCCGGAGCCCATGCTGGTGCAGCGGAGCCCATGCTGGTGCAGCGAAGCCCAGCTGTGTCTCCGGCCTGCCCGCTGCCGCCTCCTCCCTCAAGATGAGGAGCTCAGGAAACACGGAACCAGACTTGCCCTCTAGGAGTGAAGTGCAAATTCAGGGGCGAATAGTTAGAGAATTTGAGCTTGGGGAAAAAGTTGTGTTACTATAATGTAATGTGGTCATTATTAACATTTATAACATTTGTGTGAGAGGTCGATTATTCCCGAGTTTTCTTGCTGTCTCTCTCTGTCTGGCAGTTGAGGAACATAAAATGCAAAGGGCCAGTGACTACTGATTTCCACTCGGGGTAAACTGTCTGAGAGAGCAGAGCTCTATTATACTTGCTCTGGGGTGCCACGATGCCCTGTCCCAGATGCCTGCTGTGCCACGCCGACAGAGGAATTGAGAATGACTTAGGTCCAGCCAGTCTTTGAGGCAGCTGGATTCAGAAGATCTGCAGAGACACGTGTGAAAGAGCTGGAAAGTAGGGGCTAGGAGAAAAGGCCACAGGAACGGGAAGGGATTTGCATCATGTTCTTGGTTCCTCTTTATTTTCCCAAGACTGGAAGCTGTGGGAGTGTGGGGACCTGCCCTGATTCCGTCTCTTCTCATGCTTAATTCTGGAGTATGCATAAAGTAACAGTGCACGTGAACAATGTGTGATTTAGAACTTCTCTCTTCTATCTTTTCCTCAGGATGTGGTCTCAGGCAGGGCGGGAGGAGTCGTAGGGCATTATTAGAATCAATCAGAATTTGGCCACACAAATGAGATACCACCATTGCTGAGGTACTGGCATGTTACCTTAAGTCACTAGAATCTACTTTGTAGCCCGAGACCCCAGAACTAGCCTAGGCCCTGACTGAAATGGCTGCATTTCGGGGAAAATTCAAATCCTTCCCAGATGGCAGCAGTTAAGTGGAAGGGCACACTGTTAGCAAAAGTTTGGTTGTTTGGGGGAAGCCAACAGAATTCTGCCAAATGTCGCAGACACATCTGACCTGTCCCATTCCTGGTCCCCAAGGAGCACAGCTATCAATCAGAGTGCTCCCAAAGATACAAATGGATACATTTTGCCAAATTTTCTTATGCAGTCAACCCTCACCAACCATGGGGTCGTTAGCCCATCAAAGTACTTCTCTATAGCAGCAGAATCATAGCCGACAAGGTCAAGGTTTTAAAAATACAGGCACTTTGGAAAAATAAAGGTTGTATTAATATATGTGATTAAAACAGTAAGTGAAAATTCTAGAAGGTATGCACCCCAAAATAACCACTATTTAATCAAGCATCCACTGCCAAAATAAGCACTATTTAATCCTGAGGGTGACGACATGTGGGTGACTTTTGAATTGCCTTTTCAGTTGTCTGGGAGACACTGCCCACATCATCTGCTGAGGCAGAAGCTCCCAGCTGCCAACCTGACTCCTTTTAACGTGGTGGAGCCCTCGCTGGCTGGAAATGAAGAGCCCTTTGCAGTTGCCCGCTCACTCTGGAGCCGGCTCCCTTCCTCCTTCCCTCCTCCGATCCTCTCCCTCCGCAACCCCTCTCGCTCTTCACTCCCTCCCTTTGTCTTCCCCTCCTCCCCTTTTCAAATACAAGTCTAGGCAATTGTGTAGCCTCCTAACTTTTCACAAATTATGCAAGAGCTTAAGGGCATATTCTTTGAAGTCTGGTCTTCCACTCCATCTTATTTGGGAGGGTCCATCTTACTGATCTTTCCTCTCCTCCCTGGGCACTGCCCCATATTGCCTCATCTCCCAAGTCTGCAGGGGGAGAAAACAATCATTGTGGATTTTCCTCTAAGGAGTTAGGACAGAAGTAACAAGATAGCTGATTTTATATTTTTTGGTAGCAAGTGTAAAACATTATTATCTCAAAACCTAGAGTGAAAGATTGTTGCATATAAAAATGCTAAGAAACCTTACTGTTTATGAGAGATGCTGAGGAAGAGAGAGAGGGTGGAGTGGTGGCGAGTGGCCTGGGTAGTTGGCATCAGAAGGAAGGAGAATGCAAAGACAAATACGGGAATAGCATTTGGCATCTGGGTGAGTACAGTTTCACTGGGAGGATACACAGAGGATAGGACCTGCTGCTCTCTGCGTCTTCGGAGCTCAGACCAAGAACCCCACTCAGGGCGCAGCACAGGGCTTTAGGCTAGGCATACAGACTAACCATCGAGGAGGCTAAATAGGGGCCCTGGTCACGGTATCCTCAGGATTTAGTTCAGCTGCCACTGGCAGGAACACTCAGAATAACAGGCTTAAACAAGATCAGAAGATCACATGGAAGACCTGGAGGCTGGCAATCCGGGGCTGGTGTGTTGGCCTCACAGTTAGGAGGGACCTGGGCTCGTTCCGGTCTTCTGCTCCCCCATTCCTAGGGTGTGGCTTCCTCTTCATGGTCCAGGACGGTGTTGCAGCTCCAGCCATCACATCTCAGCTTAGAAGTCCCACCGACACTGCAGTTTACCCTTCTTTGGCCAGAGCTTGTGGCCAGTCATGTGGCCACATCTTCCTGTAAGAGAGGGAGATTAAGGAATGTCATCCTTTATCTGGGTGGCAACATGCCCACCTAAAACAGGGCTTCAAATAATTGGAGAGAGAAGAGGAGAACCTCCATAACTAAGAAAAGTCACAGATGTTCCTCATCTCGGAGTATTTGTACATTCAGTGAAAACAGAGTGTCTGATACCTTCAGGCATTGCCTGAGGGCACTGGGGAAGAAGGCAGATGGGTTTCTGTACTCCTGAAACTTACAATCTAGGGGGAGGCAAGACAGACCATAAACCAGCAGTAAATGTGGCCCAGTTGACAATCTACATTCTATACGCAAGTCTTTCCACTGTGCTGTCTTCAGATGTACCTGTACATAATTAACGATGGGAGCAGACAGTGTCAAACATCACTGCTAATGCCTGCGGGCATCTTGGGCAACCAACATCAGCATCTCTTTGATAGGAATTCAGCTCATCAAACACTCCCGAGGGCCTGCTGTGAGAAGAGTGGTGGGGAAGAGGAGCGGGGAGGAGTAAACAGTAAGCCAGAGCCCCACCTTGAAAGTGGCCCGGAGTCATTCTCTAGCCATTGCCCTCATGGGCCAACATGTCCAGAATGACTCGAGGGTAAGAATCCAGCTGTAAAACCCCAAGGCTGTTTTCTTTTTCTTGAGTGGAGAGGATCTGGGGCTCTTGCTTTGCTAAGGTGCGGAGCAGTGTAATGAGGATGGTAGTGTGGTGGTTCCGATGGGCTTTTGAGGCCAAGCTGGGAAAGCTGAGAAAACACAAGGACGTGGCCTTTTCCTGCTCACTTGACCTTCAGCCAGCTGTCCCTGAGCCTGGTTTTGCTGCGAACCGGGCAGGTGTCCAAGTTCAGCTCCCATGATTTAAGTGGGCGTGTGTTCTAAATTAAACCTGGAGCCGGTGTTGCCCACCCAGAACACCTGCCCTGGCCGCTGTGCGATGACCCAGGTCCCTGATGCTCAAACTGTCTGAGGTGAGGGACCAGTTTTTTAAGTTTCAATTTCCAACCTGTCATAAAAATGAAATATTAGAAAAATGAAATTAAAAAGACACAAAATACAAACTTAGGCTTCTGTTCTTAGATTCAGGAGACATAAGATTACCCTATCCAGTTGCTCGAAGAGTTTCTACAGGCTAACTGAATTCCTGAACTGGAGTTTGCCAGTAGCAAAGAAGCCAGCGCCATCAGTACCTGCCTGGGGACAGCAGTGTTCTACGGGCCCAGGCCCAGGGCCAGTCAGGGACTGCTGCCCTTTCCAGCTCCCTGTTAGGACAGTTCTGAGGAGAATGAGGAAGCTCTTTGGCTCTCTAGGTGTCCCTCATGCCCCACACATCTGTCTCTGGCACCCATGCCCAGCTCCCCATGTTTTTAACTGCCCCCTGAGTAGATTGATACAAGAAACAGCTTGACTGGCTCTCTTATCATAGTCCCCATGTGCAGGGGAAAATTTTATTACACACTTGGAGCCAGAGAACTGAAAGGTCACAGCTAATTGTAACCATTATCCAGGCTCCCCTACCTAAACAGCGCTTTTGGCATATACTGGTCTGATCAGCAAAGCAGCCAACTACAGGTGGGGGGTCATCTCCAGCTGGCTGGCCTGGCCCCGCCGGCCCGAGTAGGGCAGGAGGTCACTGTTGACCCTGTGTTGCAGTTCTCCAAGGAGAGGCACGTCATGGACAGGACCCCCGAGAGGCTGAAGAAGGAGCTGGAGGAGGAGCTGCTGCTGAGCAGCGAGGACCTGCGCAGCCACGCCTGGTACCACGGCCGCATCCCCCGACAGGTACCTGCCGTCCTCCCTGCCGGCACAGGCCCTGCGGTTCTCAGACAACCCCCAGAGTGATGACCCTGCAGGGTCACACTCCAAGGCCACACAGGAGCCAGCTCCAGTTTAGCTAAAAACAAATACTATAAAGTAGCCTATGATGACTTAACTTGGGCCCATCTCTAAGGAGACCTTGGCAAGAGCCGAGGTCAAGAATCCAAAGTACATCTCCATATGCCCAGCAAATGATGAAGGAAAAGCAGATGTTCCTGTGGTCAGCAAACACCGAGTGGGCAGGAGGCAGCAGCCACAGGGTGGGAACCTGAAGAAGTAGGAGGCCGGGCTGTGGTTCAGATAATTGAACTCTTGGCCGGCTGCCTACAGCCTCATGTCCTTTGGAACCTGCTTCCTTGTTAAGGCAGTGGCTTAATAGGTGAAGAAAGGGTATCTTCGGGTGGGTGCAACAGAGCAACAAGGCCACCTGTGCCCTAGTGGGGCCAGCAATGATTCCCTCTCCATCCTTCCCCTCCCCGGTCCCCTGGCCTGGAGATAGCAAATGGAGAAATTACACCAGTGACCACAGACTCACAGCCTAGAATGTACTTTGTGTGATTGTCTTTTGGGTGATAACCGTGAATAATGTTTTTTATTTAATAGTATAGAAGTTGAAAAATAAAGTAAGTACAGAATTGAGGCGTAGAACTCCCCTTGGTTTTTTATTGTAACCTGATCTGGCCAGTCATTCACCCAGGACATAGGACAAAAAAGGGGGTGGTGGGGGGAAGGGCATCTTGTTGTGAATTATTTTTTTAATGTAGCAGATTTCTTAATGCTATCAAGGAAATAATCCTATTCTAACTCTTTTTCTAGTTTAAAATTGTAGAAAATACAGAGAGCAAAAAGAAAAAAATTAAACTCTCACTCATAATTCTCCCTCCTAGAGGTAACCTCTCTGAACATTTTGATGTAAATCCTCCAAGACTTTTCTAAATCAAGTATGAGATAATACTGAATATACTCTTTTGCAGCCCACTTTCTTCACTTAACAACATACCCTGAGAATTTTCTCCTGCTCTAAAATCTCCTTCTGCACCATCCTACGTTGTATGGATGTCCATTGTGTGCTGCGCTGCGATTTTTGGGGCATTCTCACCAATATCATCTAAGATAACTACTATGTTCATAACTATAATTATTTCCTCAGGCTCAATTCCAAGAAACGGGATGTCTGTGTGAAAATATTTTTAAGGCGAAGATGCAATTTTAAAGTAACAATGGTAGCATACTATTCTAAGCTAACTGATCAAAGGTTGGAATGTCCTGGAAAAATTGTCAAAGTTTATGAAACTGATGCCTGTTGCCACCATCCTTCCCTTATCATGATCAAAAGTTGGTTTCCCACTTGCCATGAGGTAAATTTTCAGCTGCACCACATTCCAGATTGTATGTCTGAACACTGCAACAATAACAACCACAGTCAGAGCCAACACTCTACTCCTTTTCGTCTTCACAGCTTTTCTGTAGGCTGTATTATCCCCATTTTACAGATGACATAACTGAGCCACAGAGAGATTACATAACAACTTGTCCAAAGTCACACAGCAGAGCCAGAATGCAAACCCAGACAGTCTGGCTATTGGAATGATTGTGCTACAACAGGATATAAATTCTCCCTTATGCTATAAACATCAGCATCCTCATAGTTAACAATTTTTAAGCATCTACTGTGTTCCAGGTACTGTACTAGTGCTTTGTGTATATTATCTATACAAATATGTAATCCTCCCAATAACTCTGTGGGATGAGGGACCCAGGCCTGACTTTGTTCCAGCTCTTCCCGCGAGTAATCTATGTGCCCAGAACCCACATCGAGTCTCTCATTCCCCTTGCCTCCACCTGCGTATGGACCCCACCGCCCCACTGAACAGGCCCCGAGAGGGGCGTCTTAGGAGAGGGGTCTGAGGATGACTCACAGACGACAACAGACACCCTCCTCCACTTCTTGGGGGCGGGCATCACACCAGCCAGACATGAATTTTCTTATTTCTAATTTTCTGTCGCTTTATATCCTTCAGGTCTGCATAAATGTCATCTTCTCATGACACCCTCCTGACCACCCCATTTAAAAGGACAACCCTCATCCTCTCCTGAGGACTTCTTATCTCCCTTCCTGATCTACTTTTTCCTTAACTTTACAACATCTGAAACACCATACCTGTTGCTTATTTATCCTCACTAAAATAGAAGCTCGATGACAGTGGGGACTCTAGACTGCTTTATTCACTGCTGTAAACCCAGTGCCCACAAGAGTCCTTGGCACATAGTAGGTGGTCAGCAAATAGTTCTTAAATGAATGAATGGATCCTCTCAGAATCTGACATCTGAAAAAATAAAGAGCTGACTGAGGAAGAGAAGACATAATAGCATTGTCTTCTGTGGCCCAAAGGAGCGGGGAGCAGTGCCCCTTTTAAAAGGAGTGTAAGCTTGCCTCTCTGAGGCCTCACTCACCATTTTGTCCCAAAGGTGTCAGAAAGCCTTGTGCAGCGAGATGGCGACTTCCTGGTTCGAGACTCTCTGTCCAGCCCTGGAAACTTTGTCCTGACCTGTCAGTGGAAGAACCTCGCTCAGCACTTCAAGATCCAGCGGACGGTGCTGCGGCTCAGCGAGGCCTACAGCCGCGTGCAGTACCAGTTTGAGATGGAGAGCTTCGACTCCATCCCCGGCCTGGTGCGCTGCTACGTGGGCAACCGCCGGCCCATCTCCCAGCAGAGCGGAGCCATCATCTTCCAGCCCATCAACAGGACGGTACCCCTGCGGTGCCTGGAGGAGCGCTACGGCACGTCCCCAGGCCGGGTCCGGGAGGCCGACCTCACCGAGGGAAGGCCGGATGTGGCCAAGAGGCTGAGCTTCACCACGGGCGGCATCCAGGCCCGAGAGCAGAGCTTGACCAGGGGAAACCTCCTCAGGTGGGTCGGGGCCTCATCAGGTGGTGTTGCGACCGTGAGGGGCACTCCAGACGTGCCCAGGCTGAGTTAGGCAGACAGGAGCTCACCTTGGAAGAGGGGAACGATGAAAGAAGTTCAGAAGAATGCCAAGGGTTGCTGGGAGAGCAGGCATGAGGAAGTGCGTGATTGGTTCCCAACTGAGTTGAGGCCAAAAATAAATGATGCAGTTGCTGAGGAAGCGGAGGGCTGACCCGGAGAGACTTTGTGAAGGAGGTGGGCTTCCGGTTGGTCTGAGGGCTGGGGACAATCTGGATAGAGGCTGCACAGGGGAGACAGGGGAGGGTGTTCCGAGGGGGTCAGCTTGAGCATAAATGTAAAGATAGAAAGGGGCAAGGGTTGTTTGGAGTGAGTAAGTTGGTGGCGCTGGAGCAAAGGGTCCATGTAAGGGGCTGGCAGGGGTAGGTTTAGGGAGGTGACCCCGCCAGATCTTGGAGGCCTTCACGCCAGGCTGGGGGCTTTGAGGGGGCCTCAAAGACTCGACATGGTGGACGGGGTGTCCTAAGAATAAAATGGGATAGCAATGCCCAAGACGGGTGAGGAAGAGAGGAGCAGCAAGACCATTTAGTGATCGTGGAGGGTCAGGCTTTGTGGGTGGAGGAGAGGGAGAGTCAGGAGTGGGGCGAGCCAGGCTTTGGAGGAAAGGCCCGTTGCACCATCTGAGATGCGGCTGTTGGCGTGCCGAGGGCTGGTGTCCAGCAACAGTTTTGGGGTTTATGAGGGTAGTTAGGCCTGAGGGCTTAGAATTAGGCTGGGTCCACATGGAAAGGGTGGTTGACTTGGTGAGAACAGATGAGATTCCGAAGACAGGAGAGGTCAAGAGCCTGGGGGCTGCAGTCGGAAGCTTGGGAAGGGGGAGAGAAGATGTCAGAGCTCTGGGTGCCCACCAAGGCACCTGCCATGGACTATCAGTGCCGTGCCCTGTGTTTGTATAGGACCTGCCCCTCCTGGAGCTGAGAGTCCTGGTGCCAATTGTCTAACTGGTGTCAGGAAAGGCAAGCAGAGAAGAGGCGGCGTGGCGGGGCGTAGGCCAGCCCCCAGCCCCTCCGTGACACGGCTCCCCTTCTCTGGCTCCCTGTCGTCTAAGCTTACACACTTAAACCAAACTGTTTTATTCCACTCAGAGGTTTTCTTTCTGGACCAGGAGGAAATGTCATAAACTGTAATTTCTAGACTGCAAAAATTCACAAGCAAAATACTGCACTCTGTGGGTAATAACAAATTATGGCCATGTGCAACCAGGAAGCTCCGGTAGATGTTAGTCATTGTCTGGCTGTAGACCCTGCCTGCCTGGGCCCAAATGCTGTTCCACCACTGACCTGGTCGACCCTGGGCAAGCTACTTACCCTCTCTGGGGCTCACCTTCTTCATCTGGAAAGATGGCACTTGTGAGGGTTAAATGATTTAAGATAAGCAAAGTTCTTAGAACAGGCGGGCGCATACTAGGTAAGTGTTAGTAACCATAATAGTAATGATTTTCTGGAGGGCAGAATGTAGGACTCAGGGCAGTTGCAAGGACGGAGGCAAGAACTGATATTTAGAAATTCTCCTTTTCATAGTAATAAGGTTGCACTTAAGATCCTTTAAAATATTAAAGGGGTTCCTTTTCTTCTGTTTTTTTTGGGGAGTGAGGGTTGACTGCTCACCTGACCAACAGGGACGGGGCCAGGGCGTATTTGGCGACACTGGGAACCCCTGCCAAGTGTGGTGTTGCCGGAGAAGGCCTCCTGGTCTGCCCTCAGCAACCCGGATTTAAAATATAATGTTTTTTAAGATAAGAAGTGAAAGAAAGACTGAGAAAGTCGCTAAGTCAGTGAGACACGCCAACAGAGCCGCTCTTCTGATTGCACTTTGAAAGCAGAGCTCCCTAAGCCTTGTCACTCTTGCCACAGGCGGTGGCCCAGCAGCGTCAAAGCGTGGGGGTGGGGCGGGCTCCGCGGGAGGATGGCCGAGGCCCCGCCCCCCGCGGCCGCACCTGCGCTGACGTCACGGCCGCCGCGGGCACAGGTGGCGCTCTGGGCCACGGGGCGTCCTGTCAGGCGGCGTTCTGGCCGGTGGAGCCTGGCTGCTCCGGTGACCACTGCTAAATAGCGCTTCGCAGAAGCCATTGCCTTTTGGAATTTGCCTTCTGCCCTGCCTTATCTCTGAGGGGTTGCTGGAACTTTCTCTGTTGCTGGGAATTGGGGGTTTTTTTTGGTTTGTTTCTTTGGTGCTTGCGAAGGTAGGAAGGAACTTGGCCATTTCTATCATGGAAACTTGTGGGAGGGCCGTGAAAGTCCATTAACCTGGGCGGGTGCGTGCTTTCTCTTCTAGCAAAAGAGAGATTCTGTTCCTTGGTGCTAATTAGAGAAATTGCCAGTCTGGGCTGGCAAGGGACAGAGGAGTGCTAGCTAGTGTGTCGAACGGTCCAGTCCGCCTGTCCCTCTGTGGCTGTGCTGGGCCTTCTCTTGCTGTTTGGTGACCTGGCTCAGCCCTTTTCCAAACTCAGCACGAGCAGGCTGGCTGCGGGGTCACTCAGTGCATCTGGGAGGATGGGTCTGACAGCCTCCCCGGGCCATCCTGTGGATGATTTGGGGGATGCAGAGATTTGCGCTGAGATGGAAACTGCCCCACAGCTTCCTTCCTAACTTGTGACCCTGTGCGGCATGGCGGAAAATGCATGTTAGGTAAACAAGTCATTCCTCCTGGGTCTGTAAGTCATTTGGGGCTCAGTTAAAAGTACACATTCCAGTTCATCAGATTTTCCTGAGAGGAGGGTGAAACCTTTACCCTGCGCTGCTCAGCGGGATGGACAGGCTCAGAGGAGGCGAAGTTGGACCTAACAGGGTTGGTGGTGAGGCCGGGGGGCTGGAGCCCAGGCGCAGTCACGTGTTCCTCGCCCCATCAGTGATTTCCTCCGCCGGCAGACATTCCTTTACTGTTGGGGTGTGCTGTCGCTCTCATTCTGAGCAATCTTTTTTTTTAAAAAACTTTCCATGATGCTGCCTAAAGATTTTCTGGTTTAATGACCCGTTTTTGCCCCACTTGTCTTCTGCTTCAGAAATAAAGAGAAGAGCGGTAGCCAGCCAGCCTGCCTGGATCACATGCAGGACAGAAGAGCCTTGTCCCTCAAAGCCCACCAGTCCGAGAGTTACCTGCCCATTGGTAGGTCTTTGGGCCTTTGGGGTTGGAGGGAGACCGTGTGCCCCGATTTCCTTCAGGCTGCTTTCCCTGCTCCACCTGGTCACCTAATTTGGGAACAACATAAGGCTCCGTGCCTGCAGGCTGGAGGGTGCAGGGTTTGTAGAACCGTATCCGGGTGTGAATCACTGAGCTGGACGCTTTATGTATACTAGCTCTTAAGCCTCGTAACAAGCCTGCAAGGTGGGCATGATTATCCTCTTTTTGAGGCTGAGGAAACTGAGGCACAGAGATTAAGTGACTTGTCCAGAGTCATCCATCTGGTTAGTGACTAAGCCAGTGTGTGAACCCAGGTTCTCTGGTTCCAAGCTCCTTGCTAACTGGTGGTTTTCATGACGAATGAGCCCGCTTCCTCAGTCCCCTCCCAGGGCAAAGGGTGGGTGAGTCAGTCCTGGGGCTCCTGGTAGAGCAGCTGTCCAGAGAGAGCCCTCTTCCTCTCTATCTCCTTTCAGACCTAGAAGAGTGAGAAGGTGTGGGATGTGGGGAAACTGAGGAAGCAATTATGTTGGTAGGCCGTGGGACTGTTTTTCATTCTTTTTATAACTGACCTTCCTTGGGACCACAAGGTGACTTTCCTGATGCCCCTTCGTAACCTGCCTTTATGTGGGCTATGTCATCTTCTTGTTCCTTCCCGGTGTGTCTCTAGCTCTCTCTTAAAGCTGGCGAGGATCCCCCTGGCTCTGAGGGTGACTCAGGGCTCTGAAGCTGTGTGGCTAAAGACTTCTGTTCCTTAGGGTGAGATAAGATTGCTCACCGCGCTCCAGGCCCAGTGTATTTTCCTGTTCTGACTGTATAACCTCTGTGACCATAAAATGACATTGCCGCCCAGCTGTCGGCAGTCACTGGGATTTAGAGTCCTCCAGAAGTGGGGTGAGGCCAGCCTAGAAATGTCCTAGACTGCTCTAGATTGGGTGCCAGGGGGTCATACTGAGTTATCTTTTGAGAGTGGAAATCGAAACCCAAGGACATGACTTGAGGTTGGGCAGCTATCACTCGAGTTTTGTTTGTCTTGTGTTCTCTGCACAGCTGAGCTTTTTCTGACCCTCTCTCATCTTCCACAGGCTGTAAGCTGCCCCCAGGTGTGGACACCAGCCCCTGCCCAAACTCACCCGTTTTCAGGACGGGCAGTGAGCCCACCCTGAGCCCAGCCGTAGTTCGAAGGGTCTCCTCGGATGCGAGGGCGGGGGAGGCGCTGAGGGGCTCAGACAGCCAGCTGTGCCCCAAGCCGCCCCCAAAGCCCTGCAAGGCGCCCTTCCTTAAGGCCCCCCCGACCCCGTCCTCCTGGCTCAACTCAGAGGCCAACTACTGTGAACTGAACCCAGCCTTTGCCGCAGGCTGTGACAGGGGAGCAAGGCCACCCTTCTGTGCCCAGGACAGCTATGTGGAGCTGCTGACAGCCAAGCAGAACGGGGCGCCAGGTCCCCGGAACTCTGGCACCAACTACTTGATCCTTGATGACGATGATGGGGCAAGGCCTTGGGAGCCGCCAGCAGCACAGATAGACAAGGGCCAGGAGGACGAGCGGGAGTTTGTGATGCCACTCCTGGAGACTGCCTCCTCGTTCAGGCCCAATGACTTTGAGTCTAAGCTCCTTCCTCCTGAGAACAAGCCCCTGGAGACAGCAATGCTGAAGCGTGCAAAAGAGCTGTTCACCAACCACGAGCCTAAGGTCATCGCCCAGCACATGCTGAGCATGGACTGCAAGGTGAGTGCCCTGGCGGGCGGGGCTTTGTCCTGGCTTTCGAGAGTTTGGAAGGGGGATCTGTCTGGGCCTCCCTCTGCCTTACCCTTTAAGTGTTTTTACTCACAGGAAAAGACGGAAGATAACCGGGTGTGGGGATTTATTTAAGGGGTGGGACAACTTATGCACAGGCAGGAAGCTTATAAAGTTCACCTTGGACAGAGGGATGGCAGGCTGCTGCCCAGGCCGTGTGTCCCGGCCCTGCTGGTGTCTGGAGCTGCTGCAGAATCCTTCTCCCATCTGGTGCTGATTTTCAAATTCTCCCCTGGTCTCAACCCCCTCAGAACTGGTAAAATCCAGTCCAAAGGAGAGTAGATTGTAGATGAAAATGCAGTTTCTGGAGTAGCAGAGCCTTGATTATTTTTATTTCATTATACATTATACATGTGTACATTATATATTTATTTTATTGTTACTAAAATAGTCTTTAGGATAAATAAACATTTTTAAAGTTACCCTGATTTTTTTTTTACAAGTAATACTTGCTCAATTTAGAAAAATTATAAAATACTGATTAAGAGAAAAGAAAAAAATTAAAAGCACACAAAATCCAGTTTCCTGGTGATCACCAGTGTTAACATTTGCTCTGCAAATAGAGAGGTGTAATAATTGTACACATGTGTGTTTCTTTACTACAGAAATGGCACGGGTCCATACGTACTATATAAACCCGGGGTCTTTCCTTGAACAACATATCATGACTGTCTTTCCATGTGACTTATTAAATATATGTTTACATCATCATCATTTTTGATAGGAAGCCTTTCTTTTAGATATGGGTGGCTTTTGTTCATAGGTAGCCCCAGAGCAACTTCATCCTTTGAAGAGATGTTTCTAGAAAGCAGGTGTCTCGGGCAGGCTCAGCCCACCGCTCAGTATAAAGACACAGACCCCCTGCGTCTGAGCAGCAGGTAAGGCCTCAGTGAGATGTGAAGCCTTTCTTGTTTGTGGCACAGTGTAGTCAATGAGCTGCAAAGCTCAGGGGTTATTTAGGAACTGAGTTTTCCTATGTAAATTTCCTGGGTCATGAATCATGGCAGGAAATCTAGCCACTGAGCTCTCCGCAGGGAGATCCCCAGTTGATTGAGGCTTGTGGGGCGGGGGACACAGGAGGCTGCCCACAATAGCCTTGGGGAACATTGAGCAGGGCCTGGCTGTTCTGGGGTAAACAAACCCCTTCCTAAAAACAGGACTGGGCATCAGTCAGGACCTCGTCGCCAGGGCTGTGAGGTGATCCATGTGAGTGTGCGTGTGTGTGTTGTGGGGGTGTGGCCCCTCTGCCCAGCCGGCCTGGAGAACAGAACCAGGAAAGGGCTGTGTTGGAGGAAGAAGGGTGTGGTCACTGGTTGGCTGCATGTCCTTGGGCAGAGCTCACAAGTGGTCAGATAATTTGCTACAGTAAATCCTTACCTCACTTTAAAGCGAGCTCAACCCGTTTGGGCAGTAAGAGGATTCAGCATTCCTGTTCTAGTAAGTTCCTCATACTGGGCCCTGGATCTGAGAGCAGAGCCACGCCAACAGGCCAGGAGCCTGGCCTGAACCTATCTGGCTTCTCCATAGAGGCAGCTCCTTGGGAAAACATGGGTCCAGGCATACAGAACAGCCTAGTTCCCAGGAGGAAATGAATCCTCCTTCCTCGTGGCCTCAGGCAGGGCTTGTGGTAGTCTAGGAGGAGGTGAGGTGCCTGAACACTCTTTGCAGGAGGCTCTGGAACCTTCCCACCACCTTGGCAGCCAGGAAACTAGAGCCCGCATCTGTTCTCAACTGAAGGAACATGCACCCTGCCCGTTCTCGTCCTGTTTCTGCCTTTGTACTTTGTTCTCCTGGTGGGGCCCCGCTCCCCTGTCTGCCTGCAGGCACCCCTGGAAGAGGGGCTGGATAGAGCCCCAGGCAGCAAGGCAGAGACTGCAGCGGGAGCTCCCTGACTCTGCCCACTCCGGCCCCCAAGGGCAGGGCTGTTTAGTTTTCCGTCCTCCCTCCTGAGTCCACCACCATTTCCTTGTTCTCTTCCTGGAACCACTGTCTGCAGGGCTTTGCCAACAAAGCAGGTACAACCAGCATCTCTAAGAGGGAAATAACACAAGGGCTGTTGTTACCCGCTCCAAACACAGCAGCAGCCAGACCCAGATGGGCCACCCGGAAGCCAGGCACAGGCACCAGGCAGCATCTGGGGCCCAAGTGCTGGTTCCTGCCTCACGCACAGAGCCCAGGGCTGGTGCCCTAAAAGCCATCAGGACAGTGGGTGGTCCTGAGCCCCTCGAGGCTGCCTGCCCAGCAGTGTCCAGCCCTCCCCTGGGGCTGCCGGAGTGGACGTCCACAGAACCCTTGTCACCCTGCCAATGGGCGCCACCCCGGCCTAACTTGCCTGGTGTGCAGCCTTCTCCCAACCTCTAGTCTTTCCAGTAGCTGGAAGTGAGGCCCAGAAGTTAAGAGTTTAGCCTCTGGGGATGAACTGCCTGAGTCTAATCCAGCTTCTCCTTGACTCTCCCCGAAAAAGGAGAACAATACCAGCTACCCAGGTGGTTGTGGGGATCACATGGGATAACACATGTAAAGCCTGTGTGCCACGCCTGGCACGGAGTGAGGCTAAGTGTTCATTAGTGTTATGCATTCAGCCTTGATGGAGTGCCGACTGGGGGCCAGGCAGGCCAGGCCATGGTGTGGGAGGCAGGGATGGACAGTGATAGAGGAATTCAGACCACAGCCAGGCGGGGAATGCTCTGCAGGGGAAGCCACAGCAGCTGGGGGCCTCTGAGGCAGGGTCTTGAATAGGGGGGAGCAAGGGGATCAGGGTGGGGACGTCTGAGATGAGTTTTGAAGGCTGAATAGGAGTTGGCCAGATGAACAACACAACAGAACACAAACAGCAGGCAACACACATGTGCAGCGACTCAGACATCGAAAACCGTGGGAGGAGGGGTTAGTTTACAGAGGACTCACTCTGTGAGGAGTGAGGTGGGGATGGGGGCTTGGGGGGGGCCTGGCATCTTTCCTTCGATGTTTTTAAGTCTCTGCTTCTGGGTTCCTGCCAGGTTGCTGCCTTCAAAGCACTTTGCAGTCCAGTGAGGGAGACAGGCCCATAAGTGTATAGTGCACATCAGAGTCCTCTGCTGAGGGCAGCAGAGACGGCGAGCACAGCCAGATGATCTCATTGCAGTTTAGAATCTCCCTTGGCAGCTGGGAGGAGGGCCAGGTGAGGCGGTAGGAAAAGGAGCCGGCAGAGTTCTGAGATCCTGCAGAGCTAGGATAGCTAAGGTCAGAAGAGCAGAGGCTTGAACGCCTCGTGGGACACTGATGTCGCTCTGCCCTGCGGGCCCAGAAGTGTTCATCCCTCGTCTGCATCTGTGGGCTGCACGGCCCTGAGCATCTCCCGGGGGACCTAATCCGGGCCCTGCAGAGCGAGCACAGGACCCCCTTGACCCAGAGCTCAGCCTTGGGGCGAGCAGGTGGAGGCACTTGCTGGTAAAGCCCCAGGAAAGTGACCAGGGCATTGCATGTTTGCATTGCAGGAAAAGAGCATTTTTTTTAAAACTTTCCTCACTGAAGAAAAACAGATTGGAGGCTTTTCTCTTGGAGCAGGTGTCACTCTGGATGCTAGTGCTTCCAGAACAAAACTGAATCAGTGACAAGCCTTTGAATCTCGTTACACAGAGTGCACGTGGATCTGGAGGTCACTGCCACAGGCATGCTGGGTTTGGAGCCTCTGACAGGGCAGCTGTCCAAACAAGCAAGCAAAGTGCGTGTGACCACAGGTGGCTGGGGTGTGCATCTGGAGTGCCTTGCCATGGTCCAGGTGTAAATCCCTTTCCAGAGATCAGGCCAGAATTCTTCCCCCTTCCACATGGCCAGTGATTCACAACATGTATTTTCAAATAGCTTTTTGGGGCTTTAAGTTCATTTGATCCTTTGCAAAGTCCTTGAGAAAGGGGAACTTAGCACTTGTGTTAGAGAAGGGGAAACTGAGGCCCAGAGAGCACAGTATGAATTCTTCATCCTGTTCTGGAGTCTGCCACTGGATAGCTGACTCCCCCAGGCTCATTTCCCCAGGGCTGACAGTGGTTCCTTTGCTCAACCACAGAAGTTAAGGGTCAGGGTTAATAACATCAGCTAAACTTCCAGATGTTTTTTGTGGCCTATTATAAAGACATCTGGACTGTTCATTTGCCTGGGATAATTATAGTCGAGGACAGCCCCACCAGATGGAGGAGAGGAAGTGTCCAGTGCCTGCCTGTGTCCAGGGTCGGTTAGACTCATCGTACCTGCTGGCTGTGCTGTTAGTACGTCCGTGCTCTGGGGGGTGCATTAGCCCCGTTTTAGAGATGTACTGACTCGGTTTAACAGTTCAAAGTAACATGTAATGACTATAAATGGTCACCTCATACCTGGTTCTAATAAACTGTGATTATACACTAGAACTGAGATGGGGAGAGCTGGCTGGGACAAACAAACAAACAAGGGTTTTCTTTAAGGAAAACCTCTCAAGGGAAAAGTGGGGGTGTTTGGAGACTGAGTTTCAAATCGCTGTACATGTTTCTAATAGTTTCCAGACGTGCACTGCATTCGTGCGGCGCATTTACTGAGCCCAGGAGAGGCGTAATTAAGGGTAATAGCAGCCAGCCCTGCCGTCAGTGAGACCAGGAACGACAGAGCCCGCCGCAGAGGGCAGGATGCGATTCTGCTTTTCCACGGCAGGGGATCTCGGCTCCACACACACGTGACCCTGCCGTTGGCAGCAAAATGTCGCAGCAGGATGTGACCTGTGTTAGACACAAGCTCAAAGCCACAATCTCTGACTGGGCAGAAACACCAAATCTGCAGATTCTGCAGACCAATTTAGGTGCTTTCTGCTCAGGTGTTATATTCCAGTATGTGTATTAAAATTCTCAAAATATCAAATAAAAACTTGTGTTTTCGGATGCTGTTGCTCAAAAAGAAATGCAACAAGTAAAGCGCGTCCACGCGGTCCCAGTTCAATGTATTTCTTTTCTCATGCTAAATTCGTGTTCGCAGCAAGCCCACTTCCCGATCCAGGACATTACCACTTGTGTTCTTGACAGGTCGCTAGGATACTTGAAGTCTCTGAAGAAATGAGGAAGAACATGGGCGTGAGCTCAGGGCTGGAACTCATTACCTTGCCTTATGGCCACCAGCTGCGCCTGGATATCATTGAAAGGTGAGCAGTGCTACCCTCTGCATTTCCGGCCCTTCCAGCTCCTCGCAGGCTGTCAGAGCAGCAGGTTTCCAAGCAGAGAGGCGCAGCACCCACCCGCCCCAGAGCCGCCTCCCTCAGGGGCCTGTGGCCCCAGCCAACTTTTCCCAGAAGCCTTAGCCAGAGAGTTCCTGGAGGTGCGCAAAGAGACAGCACAGAGAAGTCAGAGGACAAAGAACACGTTCCTGTCCCTGCTCCAGGTGGGGGTGGAGAAGAGAACAAGTGAGCGCTCCTGCCCCCTCACTGAGCTGCAGCTCCTGTGTCTCCAGATTGCTTCAGGAACTGAGCAGGAGTTTGTGGGGAAGGTTGGGAAGAACAGAGTCTGAACGATATTGTCTTTGAGGGGTGGACGATGTTTTCTTTGAGGGGTGAACAGATGGAGGATCAGAGGTCAGGAGATGACAGCACGCAGGTCCCCGCTTCTGAAGCATGGCTGCCCTCTCCTCCTGCAAAGCCAGGGCCGTGGCTGTCCATTAAAACCCACAGTATGCATGTCAGATGTTTAGAAATTAGAAAAACAGAAGTAGTGAGGCATGTTTTTAAGAAAAGAAGCGTTAGACTAGATTCTCATATTACCATAGAAGTTGGCCTTTTTGACACACACAAAAAAACAGTTGGTTTTGGCAAGACCATCTTGTTATCTTAAGTTTTCTGTTTTTCCAACCAGTTTCCCAGTTGCCCTGCACGCGTGCGGGTTTTAACAGACAGCCTGAGCACTGGCTTTTCGTGAAAAGAGGGCAGTGATGCTTCAGAGGCGGGGGGCCCCTGGCTGTCCACGATGTTCTAGCTTACAACACTCTCCAGTACAACTTCTGTGATGGCTGAAATGTTCCCGTCTCATTACGGTAGCCACTAGCCACACGTGGCTGTTGAGCACCTGCAATATCATGACTGAGGGACGAAATGTTTTATTTTCCTGTTTACTAGTTTAAGTGTGAATAGCCACATTGGCTAGTGAACAGAGCAGTCCTAGGATGTCAGCCCCTAGGAAGTAAACCCTGCATTTCAGGTCCCTGGGGGACTGATACAGCTGCTGCTTTCAAGGTTCTCTGACTATAAAGCAGGTGAAGCAGCTCAAGTGCCACCGCTGCTCTGGCTGCACAGCCGCAGATGCACCCGACAGAAAACACCCAGCGTGCCGAACGGAGACGTCTGGGAGGCAGGAGGTTAGGAAGCGGTCTGTGCTGACTTTGTTCAGGCATCCTTGTTAGGGAATTGTAGGTCAACTTCTGAATTTTCCTGCTTTTCCTGATCAGACTTTTCTAGATTCCACACTCTCTCCAGGCATCCTCTTCCCGCCCCATGTGCTAGGGGGCTGGCTTCTCAGTTCCACTGACTTACTATCTATTGTCTGGGCCCAGTGGTCACTGTTTCAGCGGGGATGAGCTGAGCTATGTCACCGCACTTCCCCATTTCTCATGTGATACGTTTCAGCCTGAAAACTCCCCAAGTTCCAGGCTGTGTTTTATCAGTGTCATTAGGTGTGTGGATGTGGGTTCTGGGCGCAGGCTGAGGTCGGCCGGCTTGGAGCTTCCCTTTAGGCTGTTTTCTGACTTCCACTCTGTCTAATTCCGTTTCCTCTTTGTCCTGATTGCCACTTGCCTGGGGTCTCTCTCCTTGGCTAGTTTCCTGTCTGGGTGGACCTGTGGGATCCACCTGCTAGAGCCTGGGGAGCAGTAATCTTCATTACAATGTGTTTACCAAATAAAGGCCATGGTTCTAACAGCCCTGAAAGGTCAAATGACATCATCTTTTTGTGTTTGAGAATCAAGTACAAAACCACCTGTTATTTTTATCTTACCACCTCACCCATTCCAGGCCTACAGAGTGGAGATGTCCTTCGTATAACATTTACTGCCTCCTTGCCAAAGACTGGAGCTTCTGCTACAGACTTGCCATGCTGGGTGGTTTTCCCATAGTGGTATATGCGGGAGGTCTTAGGCAAATGTTGGTTGAATGAATGGATACAATTACCCAATTAACCGTTGATATAATGCCAGGTCTTAAAGAAGTAAAGAACCTGTCTTTTATTAAGAGCCATTAAAACATAGGGAAAAAACACTGAATAAAGAATAGGGGCCAGCCCAGTGGCATAGTGGTTAAGTTTGCATGCTCTGCTTTGGTGGCCCGGGGTTCCCCGGTTCGGATCCTGGGTGCAGACCTATGCACTGCTTATCAAGCCATGCTGTGGCAGGCATCCTGGGCAGAGATGGTAGCTCAGGGCTAATCTTCCTCATCAAAAAGAGGATTGGCGATGGGGCCGGCCCGGTGGCACAGCGGTTAAGTTCGCACGTTCCGCTTCTCAGCGGCCCGGGGTTCGCTGGTTCGGATCCCGGGTGCGGACATGGCACTGCTTGGCAGCCATGCTGTGGTAGGCGTCCCACGTATAAACTAGAGGAAGATGAGCACGGATGTTAGCTCAGAGCCAGGCTTCCTCAGCAAAAAGAGGAGGACTGGCAGTAGTTAGCTGAGGGCTAATCTTCCTCCAAAAAAAAAAAAAAAAAAGAGGATTGGCGGCAGATGTTAGCTCAGGGCTAATCTTCCTCACACACACAAAAAATAGATTGAGTGCAACATGGGAAGTTTGTTTACTATTAGTTAAAAGAAACATCTAAAATGTTTGGCGCAATCTCAACACTTTGCATATGGCTAACAAAACTCTTTGATAAATACAACAGATAATAAAAATATGCTTTATGCTAGGATCCATGAATTAAGAAAGACAAGAAGTCAGGAAAAGAGATAGAGACAAACAGATGAAATGGACCAAACAGAGAGGGAGAGATGTGCACATAGAGACAATGTGCAGGAACAACAACTCTTTGCTAGGTGCCTGCCAGTCATGGGCACTTTAATTACTTTTACACCCACACACAGTCTCTATTTCTCACAACAACAACAACCCTTGTTCCCATTTTACAGATGAAGAAATTGAGTGGAGCAGTCAGCTTACAGCCTAAGGTCCCACTGGAGTAAGCACCATACATACGTATATGTACCAACACAGAGACAGCAGAGCTCATGACTTAATTAAACACTGGAGAAACTAGTGCTGCTAGCCTCTGGATGAATCATGACACCCTTGGTCAAGGAGAGTGAGAGAGAGAGACCAACACACGTGGGCGCAGAGAAGCACAGCCGTGGAATAACATCCTTAGCTGTGAACTTTCAGGACAAGATGGCCTGAGTTTCAAAGGCGTGTTGTCGTTTAGTAACCACAGTTGTGAATCGGGGCTTCACCTCAGCACTTGTACACAGGCTGGAAGAAATTTAATTGAGGCCGTTCTGGCCCAGTGCAGTCAGCCCCCCGGCCCTGATTTACAGAGGGAAGTCTGTGCCGCCTGCTAGCAAGAACGAGGCGGCTCTGCGACCCCGTTCATATTAGTCCTGTTGTCATGTAGAGAAAAGATCACTCTGCTTCCTGTTCTGGGTCTGTGAGGTTGACCCGTGTTGTTCAGGATGAGAAAAGGGAGGATTGTTGGCAGATACAAGATTTCAATTTTATTGAGGTCTGACCTTATGGGGGAAATTCCTGCTGGTCAGCTATTCAGTCTTTGTCCATATCTCCATTCACTTTCTGGCCTCTTGCCCAGAGTGGCAGACACTCTATTCTTAGCTCCTCGTTCCTTCCTTTGTTCTGGCACCCATGTCGTCTTCCTGGATCAAGCGTATTCTCTCATTTTTCTGTCCCCTCCATTCCCCAGTCCTGGGGGCTCAGTGAAGGTGTGCAGGGCTCACCCGAGGAAGGGATCCCCCAGTGTGGTGGGGGACCTGGTGTCTCCTTGGACCTCTCATGGTGGAAGGTACAAGGAGCTATGTGCATGTCTCAGCAGCCTTGTCCAGGAGGGCCCTCTTCATGCCCCTGAGTCCAGGGCTGAACACGGCCCTGTCCTGGGGCATCTGTGGGTTTTGACCCTGCAGAGTGCATCCTCTGAGGCCTCGCCCAGGCCCTGCTGCAGTCAGCCTGGTGGTCTGTCTGTTGAATTCAACAGCCAAACTGTCTGAGCTGCCAGTACATCCCAGAGCGATAGCAGCAAATGGTGCAAAGTCAGTCCTTTTCCTGGCCAGTTTGGTTTCATTTCCTCCTGGTCCTGTTGGCCTCAGGCCTGACCGCTGATCTCTTCCCTCTCAGACACAACACGATGGCCATCGGCATTGCAGTTGACATTCTGGGCTGCACAGGCACTTTGGAGGACCGAGCATCCACCCTCAATAGGATTATCCAGGTGGCGGTGGAACTGAAAGACTCCATGGGGGACCTCTATTCCTTCTCAGCTGTCATGAAAGCCCTGGAAATGCCGCAGGTAAATTTCCACTTGCTTTGTGCCGCCCCACAGGCCTGGGTGTGCTTAACGTTCTGCAAAGTGGTCTGCAAACCCATGCTTAGCAAATCACACTCTTTTGGTTATTCTTGAAAGGTGAGGTCTTAATGGAAGCTGCTTTGATTTGGGGTGACCAAGAGCAGTGTCCTCAATGTTTTGGCTGTTTTTAAAAACAGCAGATAATTGCTGACAGCCCACACTTTTCTCTTTGATGTCCAATAAGAAGAGTCGTCGTCAAGAACTATCGCTATTCCTGAAGAACCAGTTAGGAAGGCTGCGTCTGGCTCAAGTGTGTTGTGTAGGAAAGAGACTGCTTCTGTCCGGGTCACTGGGTGTGTGGGCAGTTTGAGGTAATGACTGAGAAACTGAGTTTGGGGAGCTTATATCTGAGAATCCCTGGAGTGGTGTATCTCAGACTATGTTCCTCAGGTCACCTAAAACAGACTCTCCTGTTAAAAAATTCAGCTTCCTGGCCCATCTGCCATATAACCCGCCAATGAGCGTTTCTGAAATCAAGCACTTTGAATTTCTCTGCTTTGATGGGCTGTTTTTAGGATGAGCGTCAGAAGTGAAAACCTGTATTTGAAATCAAAAGGACCTCACAGAGGAAAGTGGTCCTGTTGTCTCGATTGCCTTTCTGTTCCGCCAAGCCCTAGGTGCCTGGAGGACTCTGAGTAGGAGATTACAGTCCTGCAAACCCAGTCTGCAACCTGTAACACCAACCGCTGGTCAGTTAGCTTGGCTGTTTCATAGCCGCAGACTGTCTCTGAAATCCTGCCGGGTCCTCACTGAAAACCCAGCATTGCCATTGGGGAGGACGGCTACAGTCACGTGTCCTGCAAGTCAGGGCATGTTGGGAACGTAATTTCCTTGCATTAAGGCAACGTCATCTTAAAAATAAGAAGTTGAACAACTTAATGCCTTCACTAGGAAATCTGGGGGCGGGGGGGTGGTCAATTCCAGTTATAATATTCCTAGAGCTCTCAAAACTCTTTAGATGCACTGGAATTTTGTAGGGTTGATATTTGAAATAAGAAAATTCAGTCATATTTTCATGATATACTACCTTTTATTAATAATAGGGGTTATAATTATTCATTCAGATGTTTTCAATTTGCATCATATCTATTTCTTCTTATTTAAAACTACCTATAATTTTGAGGGCTGAGCCAACAGGCTGTGTGTATACTCCTCCAGCCCAAAGCTTCCTCTGAGAATAGTAAAGGGGATGTTTTGTGACATTACGTGGTTGTTGTCCATGACATCAGACTCAGAGGTTAGGGACTTATCCCAAAGCACCTAAACATGCCTTTGTAGGTGGCCCCTCCCCTCCAGCAGCATCAGACTCTTCCCTTCTGGCACCTCAGCAATGAGGGGACATAGTCCTCCAGGCTTCTTCAGGGCCCTGGGGTGGGAAGTGGCAGACCCAGGGAAACCCTGAGAATCACGTCATTTCTGTGTGCCATCATCCAAACCTGCCCCTATACTACAGCCGCATGCGCCACTTTCTCTTCTCAGCTTCCAGTATCCAGAGAGAGCATCCTGGAGACAGGTCTAGCAAGAGACAAGGGCTTCTTTCAGAAAGGCAGTGCTTCAGGGAGGAGGGAGAGAAGACGACTGTGAGAAGAGAGGGCAGCTTGGTGGGTGGCCAGAGGAAAACCAGCCCACATCCTTTCCTTCCCAGCAAATCTGCTGGTGCTGATCCCTTCTCGCCTTCCTCTTGGAATGCATGGGGAGCTCTTAGAGGCCAAGGAAATGAATCTCGGCTCTGCCATTTACCAGCTGTGCAACTTTGAGCACGTTACCTACCTTCTGGTTTCTAATCTCTAAAACGAGCCCAAAATACCTGCCTCATAGGGCATTGTGAGGGTTAAATGAAATTCCTCAAATACCTGACACAGAGCTGGCTCTCATTCCTGGAATATGAGTGCCCTTCTTCGCTTCCTTGTTTCATGTAGAAAAGTTCAGACTCAGGCTTTCTGGTCGTAGGGTTTGAGTGGGGGACCATTTATCTTAGGGCAGTCAGAGTCAATGGCATATGTTGGTCTTGACTCAGTTGTTCCAAAAAGAATGAAAAGGAATGAGTAGTGGCCTCATATGGTCTGGGCAGTCTTCTATGTGCCTCAGACATTATTACTTACGAGTAACATTAAAATGCTGTACATTACATTCCTATATCCTGACATCAGTATAACCATTATGGACAGTTGGCAACTCCTATCAGAATTTAAAATACATGTATTCTTTCATTCAGTAGTTTCATTTCTGGAAATTTATCCTCCAGATATTTTCACATATGTACACATTTACAAAATATGAGGTAATTTTGTAATAAAAAATATTTTAAAAACTTACTATAGGAGACTAGTTAAACTACGGTTTATCCATGAAGTGGAACGTTATGCAGAAGTTTAACAAAATAAGTCTGTTGTATGCTTTTTTATATGTACGTATATGGAATGAGTTCCACGCAAGGAACAGAAAAATGTGTAGTATGATACGCATTTATTTATTTTAAAAGGTATAGACACACGTGTACCTAACAAGAAATTGATGAGATGCATTGTTCCTGGGAGGAGCCATTAAAGCAATGCAGAATGGGGTGGGGTTGGCAGATTAGCTGTTTCTCTGTACTCTCCTTTCAACTGCTTTGAATTTTTTTTACCATGTGCATCTATCACCTATTCCAAAACTGAAGCAAAAAGGTAGTTTAAAAAAGAGCCTCTTCCAAAACGATAACACCTTTCTTTCTTCCAGATCACAAGGTTAGAAAAAACGTGGACTGCCCTGAGGCACCAGTACACCCAAACTGCCATCCTCTATGAGAAACAGCTGAAACCTTTCAGCAAAATCCTGCACGAAGGCAGAGGTGAGCCCAGGGTCAGCGTGAGTGGGGCTGCCCTGAACGTTAGGTTGTCTCTCTTCTGGTTTGATCAAAGCATTTAGCAGGGGATATTATGAGGCCCCAGGTTAACTGCAGGATTGTTGATGGGGGTCACCAAGCTTTTGTCAGATGACAACATCACTCGTAGAAGGTCTGTAGTTACCAAAACAAGACATGGGCTATCAGTCAACTTCCTGTGCTTTTTTTTTTTTATTATTTGTTTTATTGAGGTATGATGACATTACATTATAATAGTTTCAGATGTGCAACATAAATTGTAAATGGCATTGTTTCCTTAATTTCTCTTTCTGATAGTTCATTATTAGTGTATTGAAATGCAACAGACTTTTGTATATTGATTTTGTATTCTGCAACTTTACTGAATCTATTAGTTCTAATGGTTTTTTGGTGGAATCTTTAGGGTTTTCATATTTAAGATCATGTCATCTGTAAACAGTGACAGTTTTACTTCTTCCTTTCCAATTTGGATGTCTTTTATTTCTTTTTCTTCCTAACTGCTCTGGCTAGGACTTCCAATACTAGGTTGAATAAAAGTGGCAAGAATGCACATCTTTATCTTGTTCCTGATCGTAGAGGAAAAGCTTTCAGCTTAAAACGCCATTGAGTATGATGTTGGCTATGGCTTTGTCATATATGGCCTTTATTATGTTGACATACATTCCCTCTGTACCCGCTTCATTGAGAGCATTTATCATAAATGGATGTTGAATTTTGTCAAGTACTTTTTTTCATCTATTGAGATGATTATATGATTTTTATCCTTCATTTCGTTAATGTGGTGTATCACATTGATTTGTGGATGTTGAATCATCCTTGCATCCCTGGAATAAATCCCACCTAATCATGGCATATCAGCCTTTTAATATATTGTTGAATTTGGTTTGCTAATATTTTGTTGAGGATTTTTGCAGTTTTTAGGGAATATTGGCCTGTAATTTTGTTGTGGCGTCCCTGTCCGGTTTTGGTATTAGGGTAATGCTGGCCTCATAAAATGAGTTTGGAAGGGTTCCCTCCTCTTCTAGTTTTTAGAAGAGTTTGAGGATTGGTATTAGTTCTTCTCTGAATGTTTGGTAGAATTCACCAGTGAAGCCATGTGGTCCTGGACTTTTGTTTGTTGGGAGGTTTTTGATTACTGATTCAATCTCCTCACTAGTAATCAGTCATTCAGATTTTCTGTTTCTTCATGATTCAATCTGGGTAGTTTGTAAGTTTCTAGGAATTTATCTATTTCTTCTAGGTGGTCAATTTGTTGGCGTATGATTGTTCATAATAGTCTCTTAGGATCCTTTGTATTTCTGTGCTATCAGTTGTAATGTCTCCTCTTTCATTTCTGATTTTATTAATTTGTGTCCTCTCTCTTTTCTTTGTGAATCTAGCTAAAGGTATGTCAATTTTGTTTATCTTTTCCAAGAACCTGCCCTTAGTTTCATTGATCTTTTCTATTGTCTTAAGTCTCTATTTCCACTCTGATCTTTGTTATTTCCTTCCTTCTACTAACTTTGGGCTTTGTTTGTTCTTCTTTTTCTAGTTCTTGAGGTATGAAGTTAGGTTGTTTATTTGAGAGTTTTCTTGTTTATTGATGTAGGCATTTATTGCTATGAACTTCCTTCTTAGAATTGCTTTTGCTGCATCCTATAAGTTTTGGTATGTTGTAGTTCCATTTTCATTTGTCTCAACGTGTTTTTTGTCTGCTCTTTGACCCATTGGTTGTTCAGTAGCATGTTGTTTAATCTCCACATATTTGTGAATTTTCCAGTTTTCTTCTTGTAATTGATTTCTAGTTTTATACCATTGTGGTCAGAGAACATACTTGATATCTCAAGCCTCTTAAATTTATTAAGACCTGTTTTATGGCCTAACATATAATCTATCCTGGAGAAAGTTCCATGTGCACTTGAGAAAGTGTGTATTCTGTTGCTTTTGGATGGAGTGTTCTGTATATAACCTGTTAAGTCCATCTGGTCTAATGTGTCATTTAAGGTTGATGTTCCTTATTGAGTTCTTGTCTGGACGATTTATCCATTGATGTAAGTGGGTTATTAAAGTCATCTACTATTATTGTATTGCTGTCAATTTCTCCCTTTAGGTCTGTTAATGTTTGCTTTATATATTTAGGTGCTCCTGTGTTGGGCATATAAATATTTACAAATGTTATATCCTCTTTTTGGATTGACCCCTTTATCATTATGTAATGCCCTTCTTCGTCTCTTATTACAGTCTTTGTTTTAAAGTTTATTTTGTCTGATATCAGTATTGCTGCCCCATCTTTCTTTTGGCTTCCTTTTGCATGGAATATCTATTTCCATCCCTTCACTTTCAGTATGAAAGTGAAGATTTAGGTTTGAATGCAGTCTAAAGCTCTACATTTTTTATTCTCCCCCCTTGCACGTTTAATGTTTTTGATATCACATTTTACATCTTTTTATCTTGTGTATCCCTTAAGTAATTATAGTAGTCATAGTTATTTTTACTACTTTTTTATTTTAACCTTCATTCTAGCTTTATAAGTGATTAATCCACTACCTTTACTATATATTTACCTTTACCAGTGAGATTTATACTTTTATATGTATTCTTGTTACTAATTAGTGCCCTTTCTTTTCAGCTTAAAGAAGTCCCTTTAACATTTCTTAAAGTCTACTTTTAAGATTCTCTTATCTTTAACTTTTGACATGTCAATTATAATGTGTCTTGATGTGAGTCTCTTTGGGTTCATCTTATATGGAACTTTCTGGGCTTCCTGTATTTGTTTACTTCAACAAGTTACGGAAGTTTTGCCACTATCTCTTCAAACAAGTTGTTTGCCCATTTCTCTTTTTCTTCTTCTGGGACCCCTTTAATGTGAATGTTAGTCTGCTTGATGTTGTTCCATAAGTCCCTTAAACTAACTTTACTTTTTTTCATTCTTTTTTCTTTTCACTGCTCTGATTGGGTGAGTTCCACTGCCCTGTCATTGAGTTCACTGATTCTTTCTTCTGCTTCATCTAGTTTGCTATTGAATCCCTCTAGTGTATTTTTCAGTTTAGTTGTATTCTTCAGCTTTATGACTTCTACTTGGTACTTTCTTCTTTTTTTGTGAGGAAGATTGGCCCTGAGCTAACATCTGTTGCCAATCTTCCTCTTTCTGCTTGAGGAAGATTGTTGCTGAGCTAACACCTGTGCCAATATTCCTCTATTTTATGTGGGACACCACCAGTGTGGGTTGACGAGTGGTGCTAGGTCTGCGCTTGGGATCCAAACCTGTGAACCTTGGGCCATCAAAGCAGAGCATGCAAACTTAACCACTACACTGCTAGGCTGGCCCCTCTACTTGATACTTTCTTATATTTTTTGTCTTTTTGTTGTTCTCATGGTGTTCATCCATTCTTCTCCTGAGTTTAGTGAGCATCTTTATGACCATTACTTTAAACTCTTTATCAGGTAAATTACTTATCTGTTTCATAAAGGTTTTTTCCTGAGGTTTTATCTTGTTCTTTTGTTTGGAACATATCCCTTTGTTTCTTCATTTTGGTTGACTCTCTGTATTGGTTTTCTTGCATTATATAAAACAGCCACAGGGCCAGCCCGGTGGCGCAGTGGTTAAGTGCACACGTTCTCCTTCTCGGCGGCCCAGGGTTTGCCGGTTCAGATCCTGGGTGCAGATATGGCACCGCTTGGCACACCATGCTGTGGTAGGCATCCCATGTATAAAGTAGAGGAAGATGGGGATGGATGTTAGCTCAGGGCCAGGCTTCCTCAGCAAAAAAGAGGAGGACTGGCAGTAGTTAGCTCAGGGCTAATCTTCCTCAGAAAAAAAAAGAAAAAACCCGCTGCCTCTCCCAGCCTTGAAGGAATATCCTCGTGTAGGAGATGAACCTTGTCATTCAACCCTGCCTTAGCTCTTGGTCATCAAACCTTTGTGATTATCCAAACAGTCTATTTTGTTTTTAATGGCTCCTAGTAGTTGAGGGTGTGCCAAGACGTGTCAGTGTCCCAAAGCGGGTAATCTCAGTCAGCACCTAGATTCAGCCTAATTGGAAGCCAGACCTTCAGGCAGCAGCTTTTTAAGCATGAAAGTATATGCAGTCCTGTGGAATGGCAAGCATAAGCCCCACTGGCCACCAGAGCCAGACGATCTGGAGTTGCCCAGATAGAGGCTCCAGATGAGTGTATAAGCTCCTCTTTGGCAGATACCAACAAGCTGTAGTGAGATGGAGGGAGGCTGCAAAGATGGCGTCCACCAGCCTCTGTTCCCTGAGAGCACTTCTGCAGGCCCCTAAATGTGTGCCAAACTAGAAGGCTGCCCCTCAGGCTGAAGCTCCTGGACAAGCAAATAGGCTGCTTTCTCAGAAAGAGTGGGGGTCTGTTTCAGTCTGCTGTCTGTGCAGTGCCCTGGGGGTGGTAGTCTGCCAAGAGCTTTCTTTCCGATTGTTACAGTCCTGTGGGAGCCAGGGATCAAGGGGCATCCCCTGGATGGCAGCCACAATAAAACAGGGCACCAGATGCATGCAGGAGCTCCCCTCCAGGAGATACTGGTGTTCTGCAGTGTGGCAGAGGGAGAATGCGAAGATGGCACCCACTAGCTGGAATGAGGCAGGGAGAGATTGTACAGATGACGCCCACCAGGAAAAGAAAAGGAAAGAAAAAAGATGGTGCCCACCAGCTAGAGTGTGAAGATGGCACCTGCCAGCTGGAACAAGCCAGAGAGAGAGCATATAGATGGTGCCTGCAGGAAAAAAGGGAAGAAAAAGAAAAAAAAAAGCCTACCATTTAAGAAAACAAAGATGGCTCCTGCTGGCTAGAGCGAGACACAGGGAGAGTGTGAAGGTGGTGCCCGCCAGCAGGAGGCCTCGAGATTTGTGCTAAATTAAATGCCTCTCCCTCAGGCAAACACTTTAAGATTAGTAAATAAGCCTCATTCATGTAAAGTCCGAGCTCCTCTCTATCGGCTGCCTCTATTACACTGAGTCCTCAGGCGAGTGAGTCCACACATGTGAACCATTTAAGAGCTGTTTCTCAGATCATTATAGCCTTGGGGGTCTCATAGATGTGAGCCCTGTTGGTTTTCAAAGCTAGGTATTTTGGGGGCTCATCTCTCAGGTGCAGATCTTAAAAGTCGGGGTGTCCCATGTGGTGTTCAAACCCTCTGCTCCTCAGGGAGAAGCTGTGGGTTTTGAGTTCCCTCCCGATTGTAGGTCGCCATACCAGGGATGGAGTTTATGGTGAGATTGTGTCCCAGCCTCTCCTGCCCGCTTTAGTGTGGTCCTGCTCTCATTCTCCCGATGTGTTAGAGTTGCTCAGACAGTTTTTAGGGTTGTTTTTTTTCAGGTGAAGTTGTTCCATATTTTGCTGTAGATTCAGTGTGTCCATGGGAAGAGGTGAGCCCAGGATTCTCCTATGTCACCATCTTGAACCAAAACTCCCTGTGCTTAACTTTGAAAAAAAATATGATAGGAAAACTTTACCCTTTGTTTCTTAGAGTCCACATGTGTTCCCCCAAACCATGTATCAGTTCCACTGCTGATGCCTCTTGTGACCTTAATGGAGCGCCAGGCTGTCACTTTTGAAGGAACTGACATGTGGGAAAAAAATGACGAAAGCTGTGAGATTATGCTGAACCATTTGGCAACAGCCCGACTCATGGCAGAGGCTGCAGATAGCTACCGGATGAACGCTGAGAGGATTCTGGAAGGTAAGAGCTGTTTTTGGTAAGCTGCTCTCTGCATAGTAATTGGAATCAAGAAAAGAAAGAGCATGAATGCCCTCAATTAGAAAAAGACCAAGTAGGAAAGATTAAGGCATGGGAATTCCATTTCCTATATGATTGATCATTACTTCCTTCTAATTCCTAAATGACTCAAGGATCCCATTTCTTCTTTCTTCTTCGGTGTTCTGTTGTGTCAGTGGTATAGAAAAAACAGGAAGTGTCATGGAAGAACTGATCAGCTTGCCTACCATTGGTCCCTCTAACAATTGCTGTGAGAAAAGGTGGTGGGCCAACATGAGGAGTTGGAGTTCTGTTTGAGTTCATTTATCTGCATTCCTGTGTCTTCCCAGTTACCATGGGAAGTGAGCTCCCCTGCTCTTAGCATCAGAGGGTCCAATGGGGAAAAGTACAAACCACAAGTACTTGAGTTTGCAGTAAAGTGTGACCTAAGGAATGGCCCACTAGGCTGAAGAGGGAGGTGGGGTACAGATGGAAAGGCCTGCCATGTAGGGCTGTGGCTGAAGAGCCAGTGAAGTTTTAAACATGGAAGGATGTCATCATATGGTCAGATTTATGTTTTAAGTCTGGCATCTGTGGAGGAAGGTGGGAGGGCTGAAGTAGACAAAAAGACCGTTTAGGAAGGAAGTGCAAGAACGAGGGCTTTACCCAGGCAGTTAGCAGGGATAACTATTTTCTCTTCCTCACTATAAAATTTTTAAAATTCTTCAAGGGCTCAGTCTGTTCCATAACGTTAAGAACTGTATGGGGCAGGAGAAGCCTATTATTTCATCTGAAAACAAAGTTATTGTTTCAGACCCAGAATTTGGGATTAAACCATTTGCACTGTGTCCGTTGCAGTTGTAAGCACCACATACCTGTTTCACTTTTTTTCTCAGAAAGTTCTCCTGGGTTGGCAGTGTAGGACTCAAACAATAAAAGCACATAATTCAATTCACCAGATATTAGAGTCTGCTTATACGAAGCCAGTAAATATATTACATTGGATGTTGCCTAAGCCAGTATATTAAGATGGGTTTTGAGAAAAGTGTGCTTTAAGCTGTTCTACAGCAAGTCACTTTGAAGGTATCTGATGGTTCTTCTCAGTTGATCCTGCTACAGATTTATATGGCACGATCCCATTGCTGGAAGTGACTATGAGCCCAGTAAGGGCAGAGATTTGTTCACCAACATATCCCCAGCACCAGCCCAGGGTAGGGGCTCAAAGCATATTAACTGAATGAATGGAAGGTGTTACCTGGCCTCTGGTTGGTTATCTGTCAAAAATATTCTGGCATCAGATAGAAGGATGGACTAGAGGGCTTCTATTATCCTCTCCACCACCAAGATACTGTGACAGTGGAAATATATTTAATGACAGAGCAGAGAAGTCCAGCAATAATCAAGGATGAGAACCACATGCCTGTAATTCTTTGGCTAGAGGTTTCCACCTCTCTAATAGAGTTGACTGAGCATCCTTAGTCTTAAGTAGACAGATCTTCTCTTACATAGAAAAGGAGAGAGAGTTAAGAAACAGGCCTGCACATATGGCTGTCAACTGATTTTTGACAAAGGTGTCAAGGTAATTCACCGGATAAAGTATAGTCCTTCAACAAATGGTGCTGGAACTATTAAATATTATATGCAAAAAAAAAAAAGAATCTTGATCTTTACCTGATACTGTACACAATAATTAATCCAAAATGGATCATAGACCCAAAATGTAAGAGCTAAAGTGTAAAGCACCTATAAGAAAACAGAGGAGAAATTCATTGTGCCCTTGGCTTAGGCAAAGATTTCCTAGGATACAAAAAGCATGAACCATAATAGAAAACAGTGATAAATCGAAATTTAAAATTTTGCTCTTCAAAAGACACCATTAAGAAAAAGGCAAGCCATAGACTAGAAGAAAATATTTGGTAAATATATCTGACAAAGGACTTACATCTAGAATATATAAAGAACTCTTACAACTCAATGAGAAAACAAGATTTGAACAGACAAAAGATTTGAATAGACACTACACCAGAGGAGATATACAAATGATAACTACCTGGAAAAATGTTCAAAGCATGAGTCATTAGGGAAATGTAAATTTAAACCACAATGAGATACCACCCCACACTGTCTAGAATGACAATACTAAGAGTTGGCAGCATGTGGAGAAACTGGAATCTTCATGTTACTGGTCAGAATTCAAAATAATGATACAGCTATTTTGGAAAAGAGTTTGACAGTTTCTTTAAAAGTAAACATATATTTACCATACAACCTAGTAATTCCACTCTTAGAGAAATGAAAATACATGTCCACACAAAGACTTATACACAAATGTTCACAACAACATATTCATTATAGCCAGAAACTAGAAACAATCTAAATGTCCAACAGACGGTGAATTGATAAACAAAATGTACTGTGTCCATGTAACTGAATACTACTCAGCAATAAAAAGGAATGAATTATTGATAACACACGACAATATGAAATAATCTCAAAAACATCACACTAAGTAAAAAAAGCCAGGGGGCTGGCCCCGTGGCCGAGTGGTTAAGTTCACGCGCTCCGCTTTGGCAGCCCAGGGTTTCGCCAGTTCGGATCCTGGGCGTGGACGTGGCACCGCTCATCAAGCCATTCTGAGGCAGCATCCCACATGCCACAACTAGAAGGACCTGCAACTAAAAATACACAACTATGTACCAGGGGGCTTTAGGGAGAAAAAGGAAAAATAAAATCTTTTAAAAAAAAACAAACCAGACACAAAAAAGTCTGTAATTATATAATTCTATTAATATCAAATTTCTAGAAAAGGCCTAACAAGAGCAACAGAAAGCAGATCTGTGGTTGGCTTGGATCTGGGGTAGGAACAGGGATCGACTGCAAAGAGGTAGGAGGGAACTTTCTGGGGTTGATGGAAGTTTTCTAAAATTGGTGGTGACAGTTGTGCAACTGTATAAATTTACTGTTTTAAATCAAACTGCAGCTAAAAAGGGGGAATCATGACATGTAAATAATACATCAATAATGCTGTAAAAAAAAAAAAAAGAGGTCCTTTGAACACCCCTCACAGTACAACTCACAGTGGCTCATATACCCAGATTTGATTCTCTCGTGTTTTAGTGAGTTTTCATATTCCTTCTCCTAAGTGCTCAGGTGCCCGAGGGTGGGACTCTGCCTTCCCTCATATAGAGCAGATCCTATATTTTTCCTTGGAGGCATTTTTTAAAGTTCTGAGAGAAGATAAGGTTCATTTTGATCCTTCTTTAAATGAGCAAGTTTTCAACACTATGTTTTAGGCAGTTGTTTTGTTTTGTTTTTATTAGGTTTTCAACCAGATGAAGAAATGAGTGAAATCTTCAAGACTGAATTTCAAATGCGATTGCTCTGGGGCAGCAAAGGTGCACAAGTCAATCAGGCAGAGAGATACGAGAAATTCAACCAGATTTTAACTGCCCTCTCACGCAAACTGGAACCTCCTGCAGTGAAGCAGGCAGAGCTTCGATAACTCTCCAGAGAACCTGAGGATATTATTTCAAGCTTCTCCAGTTTCTTCTTTGGGAAAGCTTATCATTTGATAAAGTAATAATGTGCAAATCTGACAATATACAAGCTTTTAGTATCCACAGGATATTGAACCTGTAAATTGCACAGAGCACACTTATTTATGAACTGTTCAAAATTACTACTGATTTTTAAATGAACGATAATTTATTATTAAGGTAACTATGGCTAATGTTGATCAGCAAGTTTAAGAGAAGACCTAGCTATGTTGGCTGGTTGCTTTCTATTACCAAGGTATCTGACCATTTTAGTTTTGATTCCATGTCAGATAAGTGTAAATAGAAAAGAGTTTAAAAGCATGAGGCATTTCAGAAGGTATCAGTTGTATGATATTCTTTAAATATGAAAACTGTAAATAGTCATATGAAAATATATCTTTTTGTGAAACAATTGTATCCAGTCTCTTTAATATTAAACAACTCATCATAATACAGTAAGTATACCTCCTACCTGCCTGGGGCGCCACTCTATCTTGCTAGTAAACAAAAACTGAGTAGAATGGAAAATTTTAAGGTTTCTGGCTTAGGAGACAGAGTGAATAGTGATACAAGGCAAAGCTGGCTCCAGAAGACCTTGGTTCAGACTGAAGCTATAGTGCTTACTAGGTGTTGGACTTTCGTCAAGTCCCATATGCAGCACAGCACTGGTACAAAGTGAGCATCCACATGTTTGTTAGTATATCCATGACATCACTTCACATACTTCATGTATCATCTTCTAGGTTTTTCACTTCTCAAAGAGGATACTTTCTGGTTTATCAGTATCCCTTTCGATTTTTTTCTATTGCAGAAAATTTGAAATACAAGATTTTCAAATAACAAATTTCTATCACTCTGCCACTGTCGAACACCAATTTGCTTTTTCTTCCTGTCTTCTAAATAATTTTGGGACAATACAGCATAGTTTTATATCCAACTTTTCTCAGGTTGTGAAAATTTCTCCAGGATGTTAAACAACCTTTGAAAAAAATACACTTCATTGGTTACAGAAGTTACACTGTACCTTAACCATCACCCTATTGATGGTCATCTTAAATATGCCTACTAGAACTAAGTATGGTCTATTTAATACAATGGAAATACTAGTTTCAAATCCTGCACTCTGTATTTCCATTAACGTGACCTAAAATGAGGCCCCTCTCCCATTTTCTTAAAGGAGCCATCACACCACTGTTTTTTTATTTGGAGAAAAAAACCAAAGCACACTTCTACTTCTGGCAATTGGTGGTTCAGATGCACTTAGAAAGCCCTCTCACTATAACTAACTAAGTCAATAATTTTTAATAAACGTACCTTTTAATGCACCATTAAGCTTGACAGAATGAAAAAGAAATCCCCAAGGAACAATCCCGCCCTTTCACCTCACCCACCAAAAGGAACAGCAAATTTAAATCAACTCTGTGAGAGAATTTAAAAACCTGGGTGGCCCTAAAGGCAAATGCTGACATCAGCTCAGCGACTAGGAGACAGTGTCTTGCAGGAGCTGAACCTGAAATGCTTCCATTAAGTAGGGATCCTTAAAGGATCCCTATTAACAGGCTGGGAAAAAACCCATCTGCCTGCTAGCAAAAAAGAGGTTACGAGGAAACAAGCCTGTTTTTCATGTACAGCTACAAGAATAAAAATAATTGTAATGATAATGGTCTTTGGTGAGGATTTGCAACTACAAGCCTGTCCTCAAATAGGTCTTGGAGTAAAATTTACAGGATCAAGAAACTGATTTACAATGGTCCCAGCTTGGTGGCATCTCTGGGGCCTGGCAGACATAAGTCTATCCTCTCAGGACGAAAGCATCTGGTATTCCCATAGATTAAACTAAAAATGAATATATATATATATATTTGTATATGTAAAAATATATATATACATAAAAAGCAAACACAAGCAGGCAATGCCATCACGGATAAAATGCTGCGAAAAAAGAGATTTAGAACCCCCATGCCTTCAGATACCAGAATTATATTTTGAATGCAAAGCAAGCATATATGGATGTGTATAAAGAAAAAATGAACTCAAACAGGAAATGACTATTAAAAAGTGATCAGATTTTAAGAGAAACTAAGTAGATCCTTTAGAGATGTATAATGAAACTAAAAACTCAATGAATGCTATTAAACAGAAGATTAGATCCAACTGAAGCGTTAATGAACTGGGAGACATACCTGACATGCCCAGAATACGGCAGAGACAAGAAGAGGAAAAACAGGAGAGAGGGATTAAAAGGCTTAAGGATTGAAACGGAATGGCCCAATGCATCTCATCAGAGCTCCAGAAGTAAAGAAAGTGAGGTGGGGAGGAAGCAATTCACCCAGAAGAAAGGTCTGAGATTTCAGGATTGGTGAGCAGAGAAATTGATGAGCTTACTGGTGTCTAAAAAAGAAAACAAACATTAATAGTGTCCACTATGTGAGGTTAAAAAGGCAATTAAAACAATAGCACAAACCAAGAGTGGGGCAATCAGAGCTCCTAGAGTTCTGATAAAGTGTTATACTTCAGCACAAGGATTAAGATAGTGATTAGCTTTAAGTACTTAAAATGTCAAGGACAAATACTACAAGAACAGAAATTAGGGTCAAAGTTTCAAACTAGCAAAGCAAAAAAGTGGAGAAAACAAAAACTATATATCTAAAAGACAGAGAAAAGTAAGATGAATAGCAGGCACAAAGATGGCAAAAATAAGTCCAAACTTATCAACAATCATTAATAAAAGTAAATAGACTCAACCTGCCAGTTAAAAGTAAGAGATGGCCACCCAGATTTAAAACAAAATAACCTCACAGTGTTTGCCAGAAACATGAAGCATAAAGACATAAAAATTTGCATTAAAAAGGGAAGATTATGGGGGGGGGAACAGAGTGTGTGTTTTTTTTGGATTCACCCTGAGCTAACATCTGTTGCCAATCTTCCTCTTTTTCAGCTTGAGGAAGATTAGTCCTGAGCTAACATCTGTGCCAATTTTCCCCTATTTTCTATGTGGGCTGCCAGCACAGCATGGCTGATGAGTGCTGTAGGTCCACACCAAGGATCTGAATGTATGAACCTGAGCTGCCAGGGCACGCCAAACTTAACCACTACACCTCAGAGCCAGCCCCCAGAGTGTACTTTTTAAGGGGGATGCAACAGGTTTCTGGGGTGCTGGTAAGGCTTTATTTCCTGACTCAAGTGACTTTTTATTTTTCCCTGCTTTACATAGTTGTATATCTTAGTTGCAGGTCCTTCTAGTTGTGACATGTGGGACGCCACCCCAATGTGGCCTGATGAGCGGTGCCATGTCCACACCCAGGATCCAAACCAGCGAAACCCTGGACTGCTGAAAAGGAATGCACGAACTTAACCACTTGGCCACAGGGCCGGCCCTCTCAAGTGACTTTCTAATAACTTGGCTGTACATGTGTTTTACGCATTCTTATGAATGTATATTTTATAATAAAGTGTTAAAACATTTCTAAAGATGTGATACCTAGGAATATTTCTAACAAAAGATATACAAGAACTTGAAGAAATTTTTAAACTTTAAAAATCTGAAAAACACTGAAGAAACGTAAATAAATGGAGGCACCATGTTCATAGATTAGAAGATTCTCTATTAGTTCTTAAAATGATCTATAAGCTTAATGCAATCCCAATCAAAATCCAACAGGATTTTTCAAGCTAACCTGATAAGCTTTTCCTAAAACTTAGATGGCTAGGAATAGTCAAGACTATCCTAGGAAAATAAGACAGTGGGAGGGGGGAATCTGTTCTACCAGATAAAAGCCCATTATTAAGGTATGATAATTAAGAAACTGTCATTAGAAATTTGATACATGGCAGAAGAAACATTGCCAATGAGTGGGGGAAAGGATGAGTTTTTAAATAATTCTTGAACTGGTTAAGCAAATGAAAGGGGAGGGGATGGTTCCTTATCTCACACACCAAAGAAAATCTAGATGAATTAACAATCTACATGTGAAAGGCCAAACCATAACACTTTTAGAAGAAAACATAATCTCCGATTTTGAATCAAGGAAGAATTTCTTAAACTAGACAGAAAAAGCATTAAATATGAAAGATTAATCAATCTACATTAAAATGAACTAGTCATCAAAGGTATCGTAGATAAACTGAAAAAAACAGAGAGATACTAGCAACACATAAAACTGACAAAGGATTAGTATGGTAGGCAGCCTCCAAGATGGCCCCCAATGTTACCTGCCACCTAATCACACCTTTGTGTTGTCCCCTCCCACACTGTACTGTAAGGGTTAGTCTGCATCACCAAATACATAGGGCAGAAATAATGGTATGTCACTTCTGAGATTAGGTTATAAAAAGACTGTAGCTTCCGTCCTGAGTTTTTGTCTCTTGGATCACTCACTGGAGGAAACAAGATGCCATGTTGTGAGTGTTCCTAGGAAGAGGTGCACTTGGCAAGAAATTGAGACCTGCCAACAACCATGTGAATAATCTTGGAAGTGGACTCTCCAGCCCCAGTCAAAGCCTTATGATTCCAACCTTGGCTGACACCTTGACTACAACCTCCTGAGAAAGTCTGAGCCAGACTCAACAGCTATGTTACACAGCAAGAGATAAGTAATACAATTAGCATCCTTAACACATAAAGAACTCTCATAAAAGAATATGGAAAGACAACCAAAGAAAATAATGGGCAAAAGATATAAACAGACTTTTCACAGAAGAAACACAAATGGTAAAGATGAAAAGATGTTCAGCTTCATCAATAATCAGGGAAAAGCAAATTAAGACTACAGTAAAATGCTATTTTACATCCACTGAAGTGACAAAAATTGAAAAGTCTGACTACTAACTGTTGGCCAGGATATGTAACATAAGTAACCCTTATACAAAACTTGTAGGTATATAAAAATGTTATAATCACTTTAAATGGGAAATGTGGCATTATCTTTTTAAACTGAAGATAAACAGAACCCACAACCTAGCAATTCCACTCCTAGGTATAGATCTTAGAGAAACTCTTGTATAAACAGGCACATGGATGTGCACAGCAGCATTGTTTACACTAGCAAAATTCAGGAAATAGCCCAAATGTCCATCAACTGGAGAATGGATAAATTGTGTGTATATATAATGGAATACTATACACAGTAAAATGAACTATGCATAAACATGGATAAATCTTAGAATGATGTTGAGTAAAAAAAGCAAGTCTCAGAAGATACCACGCAATATTCAAAATATTTAACAAGTGGGATGTTCAGTTAATATGTAAATTATATGAACAATATATAAATCATTATGCAAATCAACAAGTAAAATAATCCCTTTCTTTAAATAAACTACATAATAATACCATCAAGTGATGAAAGTAGCACAAATCATTCATCAACCACTAATGATTCCAAATCATTTGTTTAAACAGTTTGGTATAATTTTTTGACCTCACTGTCACCAGCTAAATGATGGCCCCATGATTTGACAGAGGGCTGCAAACTCTTCCAATTGATAGTCATGAATTTATTCATGTGTGTTGGCACCTGAGGAGAGGGGGCATGCAGCTGATCCCCATCTCACCTCATCAGACAGGACAGTACTACCCGGGTGCTGCCTATATGTCAAGAGCCATGGTAGGAGCTCCCAGCTGGAGGAAAGAGTGGAGAAAGTGGGGAAGAGGAAGCATGTTGGGTGGGGATTGATGATCTTGGTTACCAGAACTGGGAGCTTGTGCTTTATGTCTGTCTCATTCCACACCGAAAACCGTGTCCCCTACACTGGTCAACCAGGAAATAACCAATGACTGGTTGGATGTCAGTCACGATGGAGGACAAAGACAGAAGGGAAGAGTAGGGAGAATAAAAAACAAACTGGACAAGTCTGTCAGGGCTCCTGCTGGGACTAAGTAACTTGGTCTGCCCAGGCAAGTGAGGGGAAAGGTACCTTGTGGAGGTGGAGAGGGCAGACAAATTTGATACTCCTCTCTGGAGACCAATCAAAGGAAGACGGGGGAGAAGAGAGCAGGAGGTGTGCTGTCACTTGCTGGAGAGCACACTCTTCTGGGTATTAAACAGAGTGCTGGTAGAGTCCCTCTCCTCACCTCTCTTTAAAGCACAAGACAGGCCACCCTCTACCACAGAGTAGGGTGCCAAATAAAACAAAACTTTAAAAACCATCTAAAGGGTCATTACTACACCACAAGGGACTATGTCCTCAAACACCTGTGCCTACCCACACTCCCTTCCAGTCTCCCAGCTGCTACCAGAACTTACGACACATCTTCTCCCCTTGAGCAGGTTAAGGAATTTCTTTGGAGGATGAACAGAGGTCTTCCTCAGCTTGGTTACCTAGGTCCCTCTCCCACTAAAGGGCTTACAAAACCAGAGAAGACTCCCCAACACCTGAAATACCAGAAATGCATCACGGAGAGCCATGAGTGGTTTCTGAGACAAACCACACGTACTGGAACTTTTATGATTAACTAGTTTTACTACTTTTCAGAATTACTGTTTACCAACCAGTATGGAAATATTTCAATATTTAGCATTAACTGTGGGTATATCAGTGTGCAGTGGCTAAGTATCAGGCCTGGTCATACAGAGTATGACATCATCTTTCATCAAAACCATGGGAAGCTAACCAGGTTAAGGAAAAATACCCATGTGGTAAAACTAAGAAAAACAAAACAACAAACATAAAATTCAAGATAATGGTTATCTTTGAAGGAGAGAGAGATGGTAATTTTCTATTTCTTAAATTGAGAGAGAGATTTATGTTTATTATGGTTCATAACATACATATATCTTCCATAATAAGTTCTTGAGGTTGACACTCTGGGTTTACCAAATCCAAGCAAGCCCCCATTCTCTACAGCAATGCTATCACCATCGCGCAAAAATGAGCAAATCTTGTCCAATACAGCAAGTGTGCTGAAATCAAGACAGTTTTGTCTGGAGAGTTCCACATTTTTATAAAAAGAAAGGAATGAGACTAATTCGATGTGGCTTATTCTTAGGGCCTAGGTCAGTTGCCCATTACATTTTCTCCTAAATGCTAACAAAATTATCAAGTACATTAAAGAGTTGTCAAACTTCCCAGAAATTATTCTTCAAAATTTATATTTTCCCATCCCCTAATCTTTTGGCACCACTTATAATTTCCATAGTTTCTTAGATTACTAACAGTGACTATACTCAGGAATATATTTGATCCCAGGTATATGAACTCACTGAAATAGGTTTGGTGTTTCTTTAGCATTTTTTCACCTAAACTACTAACTTCTTCACAAAGAAAATCTATCCTTTTCACCAAGTCTGGAGATGCTTTTCCTTTTGTTAATATTGTTATTAGGATGTTATCTTTCCCTAGCAAGCAGGATTTGACTTCCCTGATCATAGTTTAGATAGTAAAAGCCCTTTTCATTGTTTTGAGTTTTTTTGTTGACACTGTTTTCCTGCTATTTTGTTTTTTGTGTTTCCCTACTTCCAAGCTTAGCGTGGATCTCTAGATTTTCATCTCAACAACTGCAAACCCTCATTGTTCAGGATCAACCCTAGTCATAGCTTCGTATTTGTCCTTTTAAAAAGCTGAATCTTCTGAAATTAAAATTTCCTAAAATGACAGATGTGACACTAACTATGGAAAAATTCTCTTCCCATGCTTTGAAATGCCAGGAAGATAAGGGTGCTCTCTCTGACTGATTAGGAATTCAAGCAGAAGCACAGGAAACGCTGACCAATGTGTGGCTAGATCAAGCTATGTAGTACAGGGACAGTTCTTATGGGTGCAGAGGATAAGATAATGTAAAAACAAAGTCTGTGCAGGACAGCTAATGTGGAACAAAGACAAAAAATTCAAATTATTACATTCTACTTAAATTCACTCTAAAGAAATAGTTAATTTTTTTCCCTAGGACAGCTTGAGAGAAACTAAGACTAGAATAAAATTTCCAAAACTGCTTTGCAAAAAAGGTGCCAACACACATGCTTCCACTTATGGAACATGTCACCTACTTTCTATTATCTGGAAGTTAGCACATTCAAGAACAAAATCATTACATCTCTTTAGTTTACATAGCAATAACAGATAACACACTATTCATCTTAACTGACCGTGAAAAGATTGTTTTATTCCATGAAAATATTCTCAACAGAGAACACTATCTTGAACAAAGCATTTACCATTAAGAAATCAACATGTGCACAAAGAGAGTAAAAATTATTGAAAAATTAAAGATTTCTTTTGGACAATTCACACGTTCAAATTTAAGAATGATTTAAAGTGTGCAGGTTCAAATGTCTTTCCTATTGTAATAACCCATATACAGGTTGCACTATTCCACGTGAAGGAACTTGCCTCCTAGGGAAACAAATCCTGCTTTTAGAAAAACAAACAGTAGCTTGAAAAGAACAGTTAGTCCTTACAAGAAAGCCTTAAACTTTGCCCTCTGTGGCTGTTAGCCAAAAAAACACAAGCACTTCAGGCTTTTTACAGAAGACAAACACAGCCAGATCACATATCCTCCTCATTGCTAACCTTTAAAATAAGAATAGCACTAGATTTTAAAACTACTTTATGTAGTCTGTCAGTATTGAATAATGTCACATTATATAAATAACCCTGTAATGAGATTCAAAATCTAAACTTTATATTTTACTAGCCTCAAAGGTAACACACAATATGCCAGCTGTGTAACAGGGGTGTACTTGATCTTATGAAGGCATTAACTTTCACACAATTGTCATTCAGCTTTAGTATAACTGGTAGTACGATTCAAATAACACTGGGAAAAAATTGTTAAAGCAGTCACACAGCTTCTAGAATATTGCTTAAAATCCAATAATACACAGACCATTTCACGTTCTCTTTCTTCCCTCAAAACAGTAAAGAACCAAATTAATGAAGCTTCCGTGGTACAAATATCCCCCCCACCCTCGCCCATCCCCCTATTAAACACCACTAAGAAATTAGTTAAGATACAAGTCATTAACAGAACCACAGATTCGAGGCAGGACAACAGGAGCAACAGGGGCACTAACGACAATTATATTTACAAGTATAAACATACAGGAATTTCCATTTTACAAGTAAAAGTGCACATAGATCATTACAAAGTTTCACTAAATTTTATCTGGTTCAAACCAAAGCATCACTTGGAAACAGACTATCATTGTAATAATCAAATGAGAACACAGTAACCCCAAATTAAAAGACAATGAGGAGAGCAGTCCATAAAACTTCTCATAAAAACACTGCGTAAAGTAAAATGGACTCGGACATGTCTTTAGCTTGATGCAAAAATTTGAAGATGCACCATCAAATGTGGTAGAGCTCTAAAAGCCACCTACCGAGGCTGTATCAGCAGCTGCAGCAGCACTGCCGAGTTGAAGGAGGTCGCACTGAGCTGACACATAAAGCCCTTTGTGGGATACTGTAGTGGTAGTGTTGGCAATCAACAGATTTAGGCACTCTAGTTTAAGGCAGCATTTGAATGGAAGCAGCTGACTTCTGACAACAGTCCTTTGTCTTGATGTGGTGAGTATCTTCTGTGTTTATTATGCCAGGATTTCAGTGCTGACTATAGATTCTTCCCAGACTGAGGTGCTGAAGACGTATCACATTTCAAAGAGTTCTTTCAATGGGGCTATAGGTTAGAGCAGAGATGTTTTCTTTTTCTTATCATAAATACTTCAGGTTCACAAACTACTTCTTCATAATGTCAAAACTGGAATGTTTTGCAGTGGGGAAGTTATAGCAGCATACACAAATACTAGGATGGAAACATTAGTGCTGGAGATGCCTGACAAAGTGATTTGCGCTACAAATGTAAAACAAAACAAAGACTTCGACAAGAACAAGGGATTATAAAGACATGCCTGAAAAATCTAGCCCGATCACTCTAGACATGCAACAGGATGTTAAGCAAGCACAGAGGTGGCACAGGCAGACACTGACAAATGGCAAGGATTCTAACAGACAACGAGTCTAAAAGCCAATTAAAACAGAGCTGGGGTGGAGACAGTCCTGTTGGGACAGCCAAAGGCAAGACAAATTTAATGACAGCTCTGTATTTTTCCTGATTTGGACATCAGTAAAATAAATGGAAAAAAGGTTAGCCATTGTTGGCTTTTTATCTTCACGTGAATAATTGTGAACGAGGAATTTAAGGACTAGTACTACAATGATTTTTAAAAACAATGTATGGAAATGCTGATGAAGTTAGTAAAAAATAATCATGTCTGCATGCACTCATGCAACTTGCTTCTCTCACTCTCTCTTTGAGCCTGACAAACTCTAATACCCTCCCCCCAAAAGCAGCTGCATGTAACCTCCTTCAACATCTTGCCCATTTCCTCAGAAACCCTCTTCAGGAACCTGCAGTCCAGGAGGAAAAAGAAAAGAACAATTACTGAAGACCTTTGGTAAGACCAAAAGGGGTGTTCAGTTTAAAGCGTCCGTCCCAAATGTCTCTAAAATCATTTTATAGTCAGTTATTGAAAACACCAAAAAAATCTGGAACACGAACAAAATTAAGGACCAGTCCCATAGTTGCTTCCTCACTTTACTTTCCCACACAACTAGCACTGCACAATCCTTGACTGTACAATGTTACCAACAAACGCTTGTTGAAATTAATTGGAAAAAAAATCTATCTTAGTAACTGATGATTCAGCATTAAAATGAGGAAATGCCCTAAATGGTGGCACAGATATCTTCCTCCAACCCAGTTAGTCAAAAATGTTGTTTTTCTTTTCAAAGTAAAATTTCCTCGTACTTCCCCTCCATTCAAGATTTCCTCTTAGTTTATTTAGAATTTACTTTCCTATGTATAACTGCTAAATGCTAAATAATCACTGAAGTTATACTTCCCAAGAAATTTTCAAGATGAAAAATATAAGCATTAAATTAATTTGGAAAGAAGCTTTTTTTTGCACATTATTTACGAGGACTAAGCCTGAAAATATTTTCAGGTCTCAAAAGAAAGCCATTTTATTCACCTAAGAGCCAGACCAGGTTGATTTACTTTGCAGGTCTCTTGATTGGACTACTACTAAAATAGATTATGTGCTAGGTGCTTGTTTTCTTCCTTTAGGAAACCAAAGTTAAGAATAAGGTAGGAAAATGAAAATGATTACATTCTTATTTTATCCAATTAGCCAACTATTACTTTTCTTCCTGAAAACTGCAGCTAAATTCAAACTCCTAGAGCAAACCATTCTTTTGGGAGTCAGCTTTCTATAGCATTTCAGAGCAGTTTTACTTATTTGAACTCACTACAGTCACTGTGCTTTCTGCAGCCAAGTGTAGGAGGGTGGGGAGTTTTCTATCTACGGATTCCTGCTCAATAGATCAAATTCTATGATTTATAAGGCAAAGAAACACAACTCCTTCACACAGACTTAAGCAGGACATAAAGCAAAAGGCATCAAGTAAGCTTCACAGCAACATCACTCAAATGGTAAAGCATCACGAGAACCGTTTCTTGTGGTAATAATCACATCTCTAAGATCGGGCCTACACTCAGCTCACATAGTGAACAAGAAATCTTGGATGCCCTTTAAGTTTTCTTATGTTTTCCCACCTATTCAATGTGTTTTCGTCCTGTTACTGTTCCTATGTCACACATGTAACAAAGCTGCCTGGTTAGTTTAGATGTAAGTTACTGCACCTTTACTGTTTTTCTCTAGAGTAACATCTATGTATGATGTGGGAACGTAGCCTTCTTCACCGTTCTGTCTCCGAGCTCTTGTCCATCCATCCCCTTTGTCCTCTTCGATAATGTATAGAACTTCGCCTTCTTTCATTGCCAGAGTACCTTCATTATGTCCTAGATCAGAGTTTTCATAGCAGAAGCATAATTTAAGCACAGTGATAATTTCAAATCAAAGTAACAAATACAACACGAAACTCCACTAGATTTCAATGTACCTAGTACTATTAGCCCCCTGACTCTCATTAGCAACAACATTTCTATGATGCCTTGTAGTTTACCCAACACTTTCATATGTATTATCTCATTTGAACTGTACAATAACCCTGTGAGGCTGGCATTAATATTACCCCTATGTAACAGATGAAGTATCTGAGTCACAACGACATATGATTTGACAGGGTACTCTAACTCCCATTTCACTACTCCAACTCCTTTGCTAAATTTAAGTGGTGTTGCTATCTAGAAAATTCATAAAGCATGCATTAGGAAAATAGTAACAAGACAATGAGATGGTGGGAAGAAAAAAGGCAAGAATATAGTCTGAAGAAAGCAGAGAGAAAAATACAGGTTCAACTCTGGTGATGGTAGAAGCAGCATGATCATAGACACAAAGCACAAACTTCCTTCAAAACCTCATCAGCCTCAGAGCTCTCTTCCAAATTCCCAACAACTCCCAACCTGCCTAGCAGTAACAATTTTCTCAAATGAATTTTCATTTAACATAAGCAAACTCCTTCCCTACTCTCTAGATTACCTTATAGCAAGATCTCATTTAATATTATTTTATCAGAATGAGGAGTAACTAAAGACTTTACTCAATTTTAAAACCAAAACAATGGATACCCATGTACCATTTTACAACTTATTTGTAAAGGTGTTTCTGTGCTCCTCTGTAAGTCGAGGAAAAGGATTTTTCACAGTCCAAGAGAGGGAGGGGTAACCAAAAATCTGCAGGAGAGTGCCACAGTGCCTCCCTCCCCTCACAAGGTCTGGTCTCCAACTATCACAGGGGAAAGGATAGCATAGTGAGAAGCTATCACATTCTCTCTTTCTCTCACCTGAAAATGTGGCCTACGGAGTCAGGATCTGGTGGTGGCATTCAACTATGCCACTTGCCTTGTACCTGTCTCTCTATGTTAGTAAGTTACAAGGAAGAGCATAAAGTGACATCTACCAGCCTTCTACTTCCTGGGTTGGGCTACACGTTCAAGCTGCTTCAACTATGATGAGTACATGTACCATCAGTAAGATCTCTGGGGGAAATTCTGGCCAAAGTACCAACCAAAGTTTATTATTAAATAATAATCTGTATTAGGATGCTGATAATATAAGTCATTTTCTTTCAACTTCATGTATGGAAGGAAATCTCTATATTTGTAATACAGTTAAAATGAAAGTATTCATACTAATAAACTGGGATTATAATTTTCTGAGAATGTATTATTTAGCTGAGAACACTAAAATGCATGATGCCTCAAAGTATGCAGACTGTAAGGAAGCAACTTTATCAAATACAATATATTAAGAAAATCATACCATCGAAAGGGTAGATAGCTTTGCAATGTCCAATAGCAGGCAAGGGATCATCATCTTCAAATTCATCATCAAACTCACTGTGGTGACCATGCTGTTGCGGTGGTCCACGGACTTCTTGGTTTGCATCATCAGTGTAACTTCCCTCAGGACTATAAAACATAGAATTATCTCTGATCAAGTATCACAAACATGGAAACTTTTTATGTTATCTACAAGTTGATGTCCTCAAGATCAATTCAGAGAATCTAATATCAACGTCACAGTTCCAAATTAAGCCTTTACTTTCTTAAACATTGACTATATATATAAATTCCTTCTAACATAATATGCTTCTTTGTTGAATTTCCTGAAATTAAAAAATTAAAAGATCACAATGTTCTAGGCACACAGCATGTATTTAGTAAATACATCTTGCTATCACTGGGTCCAGAGATAAAATAGAAAAACATCGTGGACACGTGTCTTTCCTTATCCAGGATTCATCACCCCCTCTTTTGGCAAGAGAACCCTAAATTCCTTAGGGAACCCACCCAGACCCATGTTCAGTTCACAGGCTTCAGGTGGAGCTGTTCTGTCCTGGCTCCAGAGGGCCCATCTTAGCACAGCACTTGAATGGCCAGAGTGAATAGGTCATGAGTAGGCCTGTAAATAAGAGATGCAAAGACTTTTGCTCAGGACTGTTTTAAAAGAAGCTCTCTTCCCTTTCCTGGACTTGAACCTGAAGAGAGATGAGCCTAGAGCCTTGGAAGATCACCCTATGGAGCCTTAAAATGAAGCCAACACAGTGGAAGGCAGAACTCTGAGGTGGAGAGAAACCGAGTCCTGAGGATATCATTTGAGCTCCTAGATCAGCCAATAAAAAGCCTTAATAGTGTAAGTCAGCAGGGTAGGGTACTCACTCTGTTACTGAAAACCAAAAGACTTCTAGGAAAGTTAATTTCCAATTAATCATGTTAACAGGGAAGTTAGTAACTTAGAAAATCCAAAAGAATAGGCAATCCAAAGGCATATTTTTCTTAAATTTTTTTTTTTAAATCAAAGAGAGAAAATGTTAATAATTTTGTTAAATGATTAAATGACTGGATAAGATTTTAATAATGGAAAAATCTACATGATTAGATTTAGCAGTACTTTCAGTATGCCTGGAAGCCATGTTCTTAAATAACACAAATCAGAGATTAGATTATTTTAATCTAGGTTTTACCTAATAACAAAAACCAGTATATTTTGGGTATCTCTTGATATAGTGAAGATATGTACTCTTTCAAAAGGTGAGGATAGAGAGGAAGAGAGGAGGAGAGGGGGAGAAGGAGGAAATAACATTTATCAAGCACATACTATTACTAGGTATTTTACCCTAGGTGCTTTACATGCATTATTTCATTTAGTACTAATAACCCTGTATGATTGGTATTTTAATCTCTATTTTATATTTTAGGAAAATGAGACTTACGGAGCACTAAAAATGAACTTGCTCAAATTACACTGTAATTAAGTAGTAAACCAAGATTTGATACTAGATTTCTCAAATTCTTCTCTGAAGTAAATCCTAATTTGTTGGATTTCATTATTAAAAAAAAATGAAGACATATTACACATAGGTGGGAAATGTCAGAAATGGTATGAAAACATAAAAACTTAGCAAACTGTCTGTTGGAAGCTCTGCTCCAAACTAACAATACACTTTTTTTTTCTTCATGAAACTTTGAGCAATTTGACAGTTAAATTTTTCCTTGGTTCATAAGCTACCCAACTCCATCTAAACCTTAAGGGAATCTTCCCAAGTCTGAGAAGCCTGTACCTCCAGACTGGGGCTCTGAATTTTCTACGCTCCTACCTCTGTTTTTGGATGCATGACAAACCAGAACTGAGCAGCAAAATGAAATTTCATACTCACCTGTAGCTAGTGTAAAGAAACAGAAAATTATTTAGGTTCCAAAGACTGATGTTACTAAAAGCCAAACTTGTTAAATAAAAAAAGAAGAAAAAGAATGATATGAAGTTTAGGACAAAAGGGTGAGAAAAGTTTGGGGGAAAAGAAGAAATACAAATAAAATGCAAAAAATGACCTTTCTCGTCCCTGGGTTACAAGATGATTTATGTCACTGCTATGTCTTCTGTCTCCTCTCCCACCTGTTTTGCCTTCAACTTCAGAGAGCCAAGCCTTCAGAAAAAAAATAAGTAAAACTGAGCTCAAAATATTTTTAAAAGCTCATAAGATATTTTACATTTAAAATGTGCTTTGAGTTTTTATGATTACGTAATTCTTACAGACAGGAAACCTTTATTCCAATTTGGTCAATAATCAACTTTACAGCTAATAAAAAAATAGTATAAATAGTATAATAGCCTAAGTTTAGTTTTATATAAACTTTTACATTAAAAAAATACTTCAATGAGAGATTCATTCTAAAGATTATATACCATGATGATACCTTACTTTTAGCTTATAAACCCTATAATTAAATAAATATTTGAAGATAATTCTAGCAAAAACCAATCTATCATAATGAAGTTCACAAAAATGAATTTATCTTAGACAACTGCTAAATAACAAATCTACCTCATTCTTGTGGATTTCCATTCGCAGGCGGTCAATGTTATTCATGGTTTCTGCTAACTTAGGCTGCAAACTCCCTGGATCCCCCATCTGTGGATTTTTCTCATACACATCTTTCATTTTGTTGAGTGCTTCTCTGAAAATGAAAAGGAAGCCACAGAATTAAATATTCACTTCATATGTTCCCAGATAAAAGAGTTTCACTTGATTTCGGGGACTCACATGCAGTTAAAAAGAGTCATATCTCTTTAAGTTTAGTCAAACATTACGTGATTAAAGATAATCTGTATAAAGCTAATAATGTACATAGAATTAGTAATTTATGGAGACAGTTTTAAAACAAACAGAATTTAAAAAAAAAAAGCATTTCATTTCTTATTTCTTGCTTCCTAAATGAAGAGATTACATATATATCTATGTCTATATCCGTATATATACATAGGTTTAATCAAAGGCTGGAAGGATATTCCTCAGTATTCTTAAACTCATCATGTCCCAAATCAAACTCATTATATTCACACCCAGAAACACTATTCCACCTGTGTTTCTTATCTTAGTTCACAGCAGCAGCATCCTCCCACTCATCTATGCTAGAAATAGGAATGCCATCTTTAACTTGCCCTTCTCCCTCTAATTTCAGTTATTCATCTCCTCTTCACTTTTCACTTATCACATCACAAAAGGTTATGCCTCAAATCAGCTCTCCTTGACTCTCTCTAACATCTGACATTATTGACTAACACTCTTTAATACTCTTTTCCTTCTTGATCTCCCGAAGGCTGCATTTTCTTTTCCCTTCTCACCTCTACTGTATCATAATCTCTCTCACTGGCTCCTTCTCTTCTTCTGTTCATTCTTTAAATGTGTATTACATAAAATGACAAAGGTTTCTTCTCACCTCATCCTACATTCTTCCTTTTTGAGGATGATCTCATTACGTTTTAGAAATATAATTGACTTATTGTTTTAATATCACCTATCTTCAGATGATTCCCAAATATGTATCTCCAGTCCTCTTTCTCGCCTAAGTTCTGGATTTAATTTCCAAACCCAAGTGGATACTACTTCCATATGAATTTTTCACATATTTCAAAAATCAACATAAACAAGACCATTCATTATCTTTGCCCCAAATTTATTTTTTCTTACTGTTTCAATTAAGTCTTTATTCTCCTGAGCTGCAAGCCTATTGTTTTTTTAATGCCTCCATTATTTTCTTCTTGGACATCCAATCAGGCGAAAAGTCTGACCTACTTTGCCTTTGAAATGACTCATATCTATTCCTCCTTTCTATCCCAAAGCATGTCTTCTTAATTTAGACCTTCAGCATCTCTCATCTGGATTATTATAAAGTCCCCTAACTGGTCTCCCTGCTGCCAATGTCTTTCCTATACAATCCATTCTTCATACTACTTTCAATGATCTTTCTGTAGAATACAGAGGTGATAATATCACCTCCTCTTTCAACAACTTTTGATGACTCTCCAATATCTACAGAATTCCACAAGAAAGTATTCAAGACTTTGCATAATTCATCCTACACCTTTTCATTATCATCTTCTGCTACTACACTCCACACAATTTCTAACCAATCTCCCTGGCCTAGAGCCAATTCCAGGCAATGGCAAGAACATTCACATTTCTCTGCCTTTATTCTTATTTTTCCCTCTTCCCTGAATGCTCCTACTCTCCCCTTATTGTCTAACTTCTTGTCTAACCGACAAACCTTATTTTTCTATCAAGGTCTAATTTCAACGCTCTGGGGACAAACTAGCTAGTGTCTGGATGTCAACTCTGACATTTATCAGCTATCTAATTGTAGATAAATCATGATTTATTTGATACTTAGTTTCTTCATCTATATAATGTGAACAACAACCTCAGAGGGCTATTTTGAGGAATTCAATGACATACACTCCATGTAAAATGCCTAGGCTTGGTACCTAGGACATAATAATCCCTCAATAAACATTAGTTTCCTACATCATCCTCCTCTCTCTTCTCCCAACATCTCCCCAGTCAGGTTTTTCTTAATTATCCCAGTAAGAATTCATTATATTCTCCTCTACGTTCCCCTAGAACTTTATTTATACCTCTATTAGCAGCTATGGTAATCCAGCTTGTATAGAAATTAAATTGTTTGAGTCATATCTTCCCCAATTAGAATGTGAACTTCTTAGGATCAGGGACTACATTTTATTTATTTTTATACCTTCTATAATCCTGATAGTTATTACATATGATAAGCCCTAAATATTACATTAAATGTTATAATTTTCCAGAGACTATTTACATGTATCTCTAATAAGAAATATTTTAACATTTAAAATTATATCATATGGATGTAACATACAGTAAGGTGACTATAGATAATAATACTGTATTGTATACAGTCACACGTTGCTTAACAGGGATATTTTCTGAGAAATGCGTCATTAGGTGATTCTGTCATTGTGTGAACATCATAGAGCGTACTTACACAAACCTAGATGGTATAGCCTATTACACACCTAGGCTATACAGTACTTATGGGACCACTGTTGTATACACAGTCTGCTATTGACTGAAACATCGTTATGCAGCACTTGACTGTATTTGAAAGTTGCTAAAACAGTCAATCTTAAAAGTTCTCATCATGAGAAAATAAAATTTTTTTTGTAACTACGTATGGTGACAGACGTTAACTAGACTTATTGTGATCATTTCACAATATATACAACTATCGAACCATTATGTTGTACACCTAAAACTAACATAAATGTTAATTATACCTCAATTAAAAAAATCTTTTATACTGGTACAGTTGATTCTCATTATTTGCAGATTCTAATTTGTGAATTGCCTACTTCCTAAAATTTATTTGTAACCCCAAAATGAACACTCAAGGCACTTGCATAGTCATGAGCCACGCAAAGAGTGGTGAAAAATTTGACTCATCTAATGCACGTGCACATTCTCAGCTGAGGTCAAACAAGAAGATGGTCTAACTTCTTGTTTCTACTCTGACACTCTGAACAAGTGTCCTCTTTGTGTTCTATTTAATGCCACATTTTTTACATTTTGTTGCTCTTTGTTGGTGATTTTTCTATTTAAAATAGCCTCTACGCATAACACTTAAGAGCTATCTAGCTCCTAAGTACAAGAAGGCTTTGATGTACCTTATGGAGAAAATACATACGTTAGAAAAGCTTTGTTCAGGCATGAGTTACAGTGCTGTTGGCCCTGAGTTCAAAGTTAATGAATCAACTATACACTAAATAATGTGTCCTTAAACAGAAACACACATAAAACAAGGTTATGTATTGATCAGTTGATAAAAATGTGACCAGAGGTTAACTGGCGTGTAACCCTGTACTTCTCATTTCAGTATTCACTAATTCAGTGTTCACGGTGACTTCATAGAGCACAACTGCCACAAATAATGAGAATCAACTGTAATACAAGATTTCATTTATGATTAAGCACCCCATCACACCTGATGTACAATTCTTAATATAAAAACTTCACTCATGCTAGAGTTTACTCTCCAATTTTAGCTTCAGTGTAAAAGCAAACAGTAAGTCACCAATCCATTGTAATAACCCTTTATTTATCGTAACTCTATATTCATTAAAACACAACTGAACTAAAGGAAACTTTTTATAAAATTTTTTAAAAAATCAAAGTTATGAGTGAATGAGTCAGAAGCTGTAAGTAGTCAAGCACTGTTTGCCAACATATTTTGCTGCAAAAAAATATAGTTTCAGGTTTCTACTGAACTCAATTTATATACCAGAGCAAAACGAAAATAGCAAAGTATATAAGGTGGTTAGCGTTAGTGAAACTACTTTTGATAATGAATCATCAAGGTATTTTGCAAATTTATGGATGGTATAAATATATACATTAGATCCAATAAGTAATCTGCAACCTAAGAAACTCTCCAACGTTTCATTTTTACCTGTGACACAGCAACCATAAAATTTTCCAAAATTTAGGATTGTACTTTTCCCTCAAAAGATATTTCAATTAGGACGTATAATTTTTAAACCTTCTATACATCACATTTAAACACGTCATTCAAAGTAGACCCTGAAAGGAAGAACTATGGTAGAGAAGACTTAATGGAAAAATACTTTTGGTCTGATTCTTTTTGAAGTTCTCTGTTAAGTTCATCAATGCGCTGCTGTAGTTTTTTACGTCTTTGTTCTGGTGGCAGATGACTGAAATCTTCTAGCGCTGGGCCCTGAAAAGAGAATCTAAATCATTACAAAAGACATTTTCAGGAAATTTTATTTTTTCAAATATACTTGCTACAAAATAAAAAATATATATCAATTTCAAGTTTAATTTCAAATTAGCCCCAAACAATCCCTTTTAAGAAAAAGATATCTACATGGATATGTGCACATATTAGTTAAAACAATTGTATTATAGAAAGAGTTCAAATTCCAGTCAGTTTATAAAATCACAAAATAGAATAGGTAAAAATATCACCAGATACAGACAACTAGTAATGACTGGTATCACATTATTTTCAAGTCTTGGCAGAGTTAAAAAAAATACATATGAACCTTCTTACAGCAACAACAACAAAATGGAAACATGTAACATTTCTCATCTATACAAATTACTATTTTATATATATCACCACATTCCCAAATCAAACACACTGCCATGGTAGTGAGAATATTACAAATATTCAGACTGAAAATATGAAAAGTTCATATAATTGAGTTAAGTAAGCAACTTACCTCATAAAGACAATCTAATTAATGAAATATATTTTAATGCTGCATATAGTCTTTGAATGATTATATTTATTACACCATTCTTTAGAACCAAAACATATGTAATCATTAAAAAACAAAAGACAGAACTATCCACTGAGTGAAATATAAGTAGAAATTATATTCCAGTAAGGAGCCTATTTTCAATTATCCTTTTGTACAACCAAATAACATTACCTCAGTTGTTCCTGAAAAAAACAAATAATCCAAAGAAAGACATAATCCTTCTTTAGGAAGACTGCTTGATGCTTGAAAATTTTTTAATGCTTTGATATTCAAGAAACTTTATTATTTAAGAAAAAGTGCTAGTATTTAGATGTAAATTTCTGATTCAAATGTCTTTTCTCCTTTTAAATGTTAATCATGTCACTGTTACTTTAGTTATCTTATTAGAGATTACATAACAGAGCCAATATTAGGAACTATTGATTCCATTTAATATAAACCCATATTTACACGTAAGTTTTTTAATATACTCCATAAATTGATGGCATCTATCATTTTCACTTTTTTAAAAAAAGGGTGATTTTAAGAACACACAAGTTCAATTTTTAAAGTGTTGCTGAAATGAACTCCCAAAATACATACATCCTTGCTCTTTAGGCCACTTATGCCTATAACATATCCTAAATTGCTTTATTTCACCATCTATAAGAATGCTTCCCTTACTTTTAAAAAAGAGAAAACTCACTTTTAGGATGAGCCATGATCAAATATAACATTTAATTACTAACAGAATCTCTAGAATTTTTCCCAAGTGGCCTGCACATTACGAACATTTGACAAGCCTTCCTAAAAAGAGTAGAGCATCTTGTCTAACTGGCTTTTGGTTTTTAATCTACCAGTCACCAGAAATAAGAATCTGCTATCAACCAATTCTAAACTAAATGAATGGCAAAATTTCCTAAACAAGATGTGTTTAAATTTAGTGGTTAATTATCAATATAAGTTATCAGTTTTAATCTAATTTGGGGTATACGTTTTGAAAACTACCATATCTGTGCTAAAGATAAAACTTTCTAATTTATATATTTAAAAATATTTCTTCAAATTTTGCAAAACTATTTAATAAAGTGAAGAAACATATCTCAATGTGGTTTATTTGGTAGTAGTATAATAAACTCACAACTACCTATACGTAAATCTGCCAGATTTCCACTTATCCCTGATCAAACGTTGTTCTTAAATTTATTAACAGTAGATATCTACACACTTGCATTTTTAAGATCCCATTTTGACCTTATAACCTATTCTTTTACAGAATATGAGAACTAAACTCACTCTATTTCCTATGGATATAAAGAAGACCTCTCAGGCATTTAACAACCTCTCCTACTACAAGAGAATTCACAAAAGGTCAAACTGCAAGAGTCTTTTTGAAAAAGAGTGGTCTATTTTCTGAAAATGAGAAACTATGTAAGCACCCAATAATTTGGGGGTTAGGCCTTCACAATGTAGTTACATTAATTTGTTTGAAATAAATGTATAAAGGAACATCACTCACACACACACACACACACACACATATACACACAATATTTAGGTTATTTGTGCTTTTATTTCCATTCAATAGTATAGAAGAAGAAGCACTGATTCTATAATAAAAGCAGTAGGGAAATTTTCTTGCTTTTTGGAAAATCTAATGATTCTTACGATAAACCACAAATCAAGTTTATATGATCTTTTTAAAGGGTATTAAGAAAAATCACGAAAGATAATTTTTAATTTTCCTTCTGTAAAAACATGAACTTTTGTTCTACTATGTAACTGTTAATGTTTAACTATAATTTTATTCTCTGTAACATAAGGACTCCACCCAATAACATTTAAGAACTTAATGGGTTGATTACAGATTAACCACATTATTTTCCAATTTTACGACATCAAGTGGCACTGGCATATGTTGGACTATGGATTAAGTTATAAAAAGAAAAGACAAGGTGAAAATGTAGGGATGTACCTTACCACTTGTTTTGACTTAAACAAAACAATGTTTTGAGATTACTTAATGTTGGCACACATATAGATCAGCACATAAGGCTTACCATCTTCACCGACCACTGAATAGTTCAATGGAAAACAGAAAGAAATGGTAAATTATTCACATGAAACTATAATACAGAAGATGCAATAACCTATATATATATATATTTTACAATATTAAAATAAATCATGTACATTTCACAATCCAAACAATTATGCCAGAAAAACAATTTTAAGCACATTTTTTGGAAAGTAAATTACTTGCAAAAAAACCAAAACAAAACACTGATGATAATGGGCAGATATTTTCTAGGTGCAACTAAAACTCAAAAGTAAATAGCGATCATTGTATCTTTTTCATGTATTTTCCTCTTTAAGATAGAACTTTTACATAAGTGGATTTCACTTATATAGGTCTTCATTCCCAAAATACTAATATTTGAAAAGTTAAATACAAAAGATCTAATATTAACCATTTTAAAAGAAATCTTAGATGAAGTATTAAAAAATGGAATGTTCTTCCCAATGTGTTAAACAAGACAATGTTATTTGAATTTTTATAGTTCAAAATACTGTTTTAAACATAAATGTAAAATGGGTAGGTAAGGGTAAGATTTCTACTTTAGTTTTCAGGTACAGACACATTAAAAACACATTATTATCAAAATAATAAATAAACGAGTCACCCAGGTTCAAGTCTCCCATCCATATTTCCTAAGAGACACAAATATGTGGGTTGAATTTTGCTTTGAAGATATAGCTTCTATTTTTCAGTTTTTATTCTAAAATCCATATGCTCAAGAAGCAACACTAAAAATATAACTTTGATTTTTAGAAAATTGGTTAAAATTTATTCTTTCTGAAAATATGAAATGACATAGCCAGAGTGCTCTCATACAGTAAATATACTGCATATGTATATATATCCCACGTTCCATGGGTTAGAAGGGCTCTGCCACGGGCATTGCATCTATCTAGCATCCCAACTAAACACACATGCACGCACAAGTGCACACACACACATGCATGTGCACACACACACACACACACACCCAGTGACCCAGAATATACAGTAGAGGTTTACAAAGCTAATCTTCACATTCACTGTATTTGGTTTGCAGCTTCTAAAATTTTTATTTTTCCCAGTTTTCTAACTCATGATATTTTAGAGAAGATGGAGGGATAGCAGACAGAATTTCACATAAAAAACATGAATTTTAATAAACAGCTGACAAAAATATCTACCCTTTATCTCTGATGAATTGGCCATATATATTAATGGTTACGATGATAAGCAAAGATGACATTTTTCCATAATCTTTCCAAATTAAGCTTAACATTCTTTAGACTGTCAGTAGTTTCAGGGAATAAAAACCACAACTTATTTTGCTGTGACAAAACTCCTGGTAAGAAGATACAAAGATATTCATGATCTTCTTAAAATGTTATTAAAAGAAAATTATATATAGGAAAAGAAGTAAAATATGTATTTTAATTTGACTTATCTCTTATGATAATTCTCATCAGCTAAATTTCTAAGTACCACAATTTTTCCAGTTTCTATATTAATGTCTTAGAGAAAACATGAAGATAATTATATACAACTGAAATATCAAATGCTTCAGTTTTTTAGCTAGTCTAATTTTATTATCAATTAGAAAATAAATTTACAGTTCATTAACCTTAGATTTGGGGGTACAAAAACTCAAGTTCTTTGTAAAAATATTAGGAATATATTTATTTTAAAAGTAATACACGTTCAATACAGAAATACCTTACTCTCATATGCAATTATCATATACCTATAATAAGAAAATTTCACAGACCCACTATACCTTAAGAAATACAAAAGGGAGCTAAAAAGGAAATCAGTTAGGCAATTAAAATTATTTGGTATATCTCATTTAAAGATAAGAAAATCCTGACAACTGTTCTCTGGATATGATAAAAGCTTACAAAAATTACCCTGGAAATCTGTAAGATCATGAATAACTTATACAGAAAACATGGACTTGTTACTACTGAATAAATCTACTTCTTAACAAAAGGAGTACCCCGTAAGCTCAAATGAAGTAATTATAGAGTAAAAATTATTTGTTTTTATAATAAGCAGTTAAGTTTGGGTATATACCAAATATTCACTAATGGTTAGATCTTGATGTCACTGAAGGAAATTATAAACCCTTGTCCCTCAGAAAAGGTCTACTGGCACCATCATTAAAAATTCAAAAACACCAGTCCAATATAACATTTTTCATATCCTTAAAAGATACTGGGAACTGTATATACTAGGTTTTCTTTAAAAAAAAAAAAGAAAAAGAAATTATAATTTTTTAGAAAAGCCAAAACACAGATATTTAGGAAAAATGATATAACAAATATAGTTCAAAACCAGAGTTTCTGACTTGAACAGTACAACTCAGCAGCTTTAAGAAACCTTAAGACTAATCATTTCACAATATATGTACATCAAACCATCATGATGTATATCAATTATTGATTACTGATGACTATAAAAATATTCTGTTTTTACATAAGAACCTGGGGACTGAATTTATTTTAGTAAATTTACTTGGCTGGCTATTTCAGTGGAAATGTGAAAAGTGCCTACAGGTGATTTAGTATAAAGAGCAGTGAGTTCTCTGCTGCATGCTTTAGAGTAAAGATGTTAAGAGAGTAGATCCTAAGAGTTCTCATTACAAGAATTCTTTTCTTTTCTTTTTATTGTATCTATATGAGATGCTGGATGTTAACTAAACCTTTGTGGTAATTATTTCACAATATACGTAAATCAAACCATCATACTGTGCACCTTAAACTTACACAGTGATGTATGTCAATTTTTTTCAATAAAACTGGGGAAAAAAAAGAAACCTTAAGACTTATGTTGTAAGCTTAATGGACTTACATGTAAATCCATGTAAAAGCATATAAACTGGCTTCTTAGAGCTTATCTTCTTCTTTTTAGATTTCTCTATATTGAGAAAATTCTTAAGCGTAAGGAAAACATCTCTATGGGTTAATTTTGAAACGTCATCTAGTAAACTACCAAATATCAATCAAAACAAAGAAACTGCTCAATGCCAACGTTGTAATAAACTTTCTTTCCTGCTCTATCCCCCAAAATTGGTCTGTCATATTTTCTACCTTGCATGCTGCTTTTTTCTTTGGTATGATAATAATGAGTGGTTAGGATTTTGGCTTTCTGAAAGTAGGCCCCCCAAAATATGTGCTAATATTTAAAATTAAAGCAATATTTGGAAATAAGACAAATAATGACCAAGTAGATACTTTTAACTTCAGTTATAAAATTCTACCTATAAATTCATTCAATAAGAATGAAGATGTCACATATTTCAGCTTCTCTCTCAGGGCTCATAGTTCTAACTGCCTGAACTTTTTCATAGAATTACATCTACCTCATATCTCTATGAATATACCGTATAGAGTATTCTAACTGGGCCTGGCAGACTCAATGTCTAGAAACATAAATGATTACAAAAATATGGCTACTAAATAGTAACTTCTCATGATTTATATAACATAATATTTAATGTACTCTCAATCATCATAGAGAAGATGGGAATTAACTCTACCCTCAAAGTCAGGCAATAGAAATTCCAAATACGATTTCTTAAAGTCTTTCAAACAAGTGTCAAGGGCTTTTAAAAGTGATTACAGGTACCTGTAGTGCCTGGAGGTATAGGACTTTTCAAAATGTCATTAATTGCCTGTATTATCATACACTTACAGAATTAGGTAAAGTAAATGCAAAGAAGTTCATGTCATTATAATAATAAAAGAAAGAAGTCCAAAAGGGGACACAAACTCTAGGGCATTTCTGCTGCATTACTGACATCAGTTAAGTTTCTCATTTTGTTTTAAGGGAAATGTAGACAATAATTCAATCTTGCCCTAAATTAATATATCTTGTTCTACATGTGGCCAAAAGAGAAACCTAACTAAAGCAATTTGAAGATAGAAAGGGCTACCAAAAATAAGAAAAACAGAGAGACAGGCTAAACAGAAAGGGAAAGAAAGAAATGAGAAAGAGAGGAAGGAAGGAAGGAAGCTAGAGAGAAAGGGGGGCAAAAGGGAAGAGGAGAGAGAGGGAGCACGCACAAAAGCGAGCCCAACTATAGCGTATTACTATTAACGATCAGACTTCTTATAACAATGACAGACTCTGAGTTCTCATCTGTAGGTTACCACACCTATGTTTTTCATATGTCCAAACAAATGCTCAAACAAATCTCATAAATGGATCTAAATTATGAGCTAGGAATATTACAAACGCACTTAAAATCAAACATAAACAAGAGAAATTAACCTAATATTATGGAATAACACTAATTTATTTATCAGTAGTGTAACAGTTATTGTTAAGAAACAATTTAGTATTTGCTTTTTACTACTCTAAAATTTTTCATTTGCAGAGCATCTTTAATTATACATAAATGCCAAAGGCTGGCCAATTAAAAAAAAAAGAAAGAATGAAAAAACTCTGGTGAAAAAAAACTTTACTTTTTTTTAGTTCAAGAAAACAAATTCCACGTAAACATTACTCAATAATATCTAGTATTTTTATAGGCATTATAATGTACAAAATACTTTCTAATATCTTAATTTGATCTACAATCTTGATATTTAACATACCTATTTTTAATTTTTATTTAACTATTGGAAATTGTGTTTTATGCTTCTAAAAATAGGGCAATTAAAATTGAACTTGATTTTTTAAATTATCAACAATACTTTATAAATTGGCAGAAGTCATCATTCGTGACAAATTATTACATGAGTAACTCCAGTGACAAATTACTGAAAGTCTTAAAAATGTAAATACATTACAAGACAATGGTGGACATATGATTTCACATAAACAAAAAAATAGCTAATATGATTGTACCCAGCACCCTCTTTATAATACCATTCTTTTACAGTTGAGCATTTCAAATGTTATAAAGAGGAGTTGTTTTTAACTTGAGGGCAGCTATACTTAATTCTGTGGGGTTTTTAAGCTACATATTTATAGGAGAGAGCCTTATAATGAGGGTGGAGAGTATTAAAAGCCACACTACACACACAATAGGCCATCATGCATTTTAACCCATTATTAAACTTACCCCTCTTTTGAGGCTTCTGAAAGAAGGAATTCTGGGCTTCCCTGTTTTTATTTCATTCATACAATAATGCACGGGCTCAATGGAGAATGTGAGAAACTGGGACCCATTAGGAGTACTGGATGTGAATAAACTAGTAGGGGTTAAGGGTGGGGACTGTGGCTAATATGGAAATAAAGAAAGGAATCAATAAGCCAAATGTGCATAGTTTTTTCCTAAATGAAAATTCTATTTTTGGCAACATACTTTTCACAAAATATATCTCAAATAGTCTTCTATAAAAATAATATAAGAAAGTTAACATAGTTTCGCCCAAACTGTCATTTTAAAAAGTCAAATTTACTTTTAAAAATGTACCATTTCATTTGATCATTTTTTTTTACAAGCTGACAGATTAAAAATATAGAGTACAACAAATTATAATGTTAGAGAGAGCAATATGACCTAGGAAAAATATTCTCTTCTGATATCTAGAATATCAGTACCACCTAGTTAGTTATACTTAACCTGTACTTGTCAGAGATAAAGGAAGCAGCTACAGGTAAAGTTATCTAAATAGGCAATGTCTCCTAAAATAAAAAATTAAAACTGTAACCAATTATTATCACAAATAGGCAAAAAAGAGTTCATTACATTTGTGGCTTTCCTCTCAGACTGTTTCTATTTCATCCTCATTGCACCTCAATTTTTTTTTTACTTTCAATATTCCTTGTTTTTCTAAGCTTTCCTAGCTACTGTGATCTGATTTTTAAAGTCTCATCTCTCAACTTCTCGACTGGACAATACTATTAAAAGAAAGAATAAAGCTTGAGTTAATTATAATTGTGCTTTTAAAAATATTTATAGGTATGTTATAATGAGTTAAATTTTATCTATATTCATATATCAAGATCAGAAAAATGAATTAAAATAATCTGTATACTTCAGTAAATACAGCAAAGAGTAACAGAACATATCTATTTTCCTACTGATGCGACATTATAATCACTAAATTGATAAGAAAGACTAAGCACTCATCTATTCCATTTATCTGCTGAGCTAGATTTATCTAAAATAAACACTACTTGAAAAGAGGGGTTCCAACAAGAAGTTAAGAGTGAGATTCTCCTATAAACTAGAGATTTTTTAAACTTTAAATAACCACAAACATTGAGCCCTTCCCATTTAATATCCACATGGATGATAAAAATAACTTTATCAGTATGATCTATAAGACCTAATTTGACATTATCACTGTGGTCAATCATTTATTCCAACTGAGAATGGCAATTTTAGTGGTCTTATAGTTAGACTATAATGTTTCCTTAGAATTCTGATTGAAACTATACAACAAATAAAATATCAAAAGCATATAATTTAAGAGATATCACCAACTTATTAAATATTTTTACACATTATTAAGTGGTGGTCAAATGTTAAATCCAGAAATAATTTTTACTATTAAGGTATAAAACTATTTCTAAGTGAAAAGTTAACTGAATCATTCAAACCAAAATATTTATTCTGTATGAATAGTAAACCATTATCCGTTCAATACGTACATGGATTTAAATGACACACTAAAACAAATCAGCATAGAGGAATTTTGACTTTTACCTTAGGCTTCTTTCCAAAGAGCCACAACTTGCCCTTGGCCTTTCCTACTGTGGTTTTGGCATCCACCTTCCCGATTTCCTGTTTGGATGCACTGATAGTCCCATCAGAAATGGTTCTATAAATATGCTGACTGTAATCTTCAAATGGAAAGTCTCCTGGAGGCTCAAATCCAGACTTGAAAGAGTCTACTACCATCTGAGAGTCCTGTTTTACACAAGAAACATGTTTTTAAAACCATTTCATTTGTTCATAGTACCACATTTAGCTTTCAACTTTAATCCATGCAAGAAAACAACAACTAAAAATTTAAAGAAATAATTCTACACTACTCATTAAAGGTTTAAAGTGAGTAATTTCTTCCTGTGAATTTGTAATAAACCCTAAATATTTTAATCCCAATAGAAAAAATACTAATTTACAAATAAATTACCAATTACTTAATTTGTAATATTGATGAATGTTTTTACTCCATAGCTTTAAACCACTGAAATTCATATGAGGACTAGTTAGTTGATAAGGAAGAGCTAACTGACAAAAGGAATATAAGAAGAGGTTATTCTCAAGTAGAAATTCTCAGAAGTTTCAAAGGAAAATACTTTTTGATTTACAGGATTGTCTACAAAGAAGTTGACCTTTGGAAGAGAGGGAAGGGCATCTAATCATAAAAGAGAGTATGGGACAGTAGAAAGGCTTATATTTATCCAATGAGGAAAAGACAAATAAAATATATTAAAGACATAATTGGGAATGTTAACAGAGCAACAGAGAAAGATCTCACAAATAGCACTGAGAGGAAAAAGCAACTTTTAAAATATAAAGTTCAGTACCATTTACCTAAAACTTTAACTCACATAAGTATCATATATTGTTTTTGGACCTACACACCTCTATCTGAATGTTCTACTAACACCTTAAACTCATTTTCAAACAGAATACTTTTTTTTGAGGAAGGTTAGCCCTGAGCTAACATCTGCTGCCAATTCTCCTCTTTTTGCTGAGGAAGACTGGCCCTAGGCTAACATCTGTGCCCACCTTCCTCCACTGTATATGTGGGACGCCTACCACAGCATGGCTTGCCAAGCGGTGCCATGTTCGCACCCGGAATCTGAACCAGCGAACCCCAGCCTGCCAAAGCAGAATGTGCACACTTCACCGCTGCACCACCGGGCCAGCTCCTCAAACAGAATACTTTATCTCTACAAACTCCTCCCCACTCCTAACCACCTCTCCTTATTTCTTATTTCTGTTAATAGTACATTTTGCCTGTCATTTAGCCAACTCACCCTTAAGTCATATTTTACTTTTGTCACTAATGCCACCCCCACCAATCACTTGCTAAACGATAAGAGTAAGAAGAGGGACCTAATTATATTTGTAACCTTGGATCAAGCCATACTGAAATATAAATGTACTTTTGAATTCTCAATTAAAGAACCCCCAAATCCTCTTTTCTTTTTAAAATTTAAGTCAGAATTCTATTTGTTACAGGATCCTCACTAATATACCAACTTGCTGTGAAGACCAAAATATGTGGTCCACATTTGGCAGTCCCCGAACACTGGTTCTCTTCTCCTGCTCTGCCCTTACATCCTCAGTTTCTGCCAACCATTCTTTTTGATCAATCAACATTTACCAAGAAATGACCTGTAAAGACTCTGCTAGTCCGTGATCAAGATACAATGTGATTAGATATATTTCCTCGAAGGGACAGAGATATGCTCTTCCTTCTACTCATGATGCCCTCCTTCCTCTTTCTCATGGGCCATCATTCCATGCTTCAAATTCCAGCTCAAGTGCCAACTCTTGTGTTAAAAGCAACTCTTACAACTCTAGATCTCTCTGACCATTTCCTTCTCTGAACTTCCACTAGACCAACGGCACAATAGTTTGTAACACAGAGTTCACAGGTTAGCTATACTCTAAGAGTAAAACTAAAACATTAGTGAGGGGAGGAGAGGAAAGGATTAGAACTCTTTTCTTTTAAACAATTAGAATTTTAGTGTTTAGAAGAGTCCTTAGAGCTAAAAGGAGTCCAATCTATTGCCAGACTTCCTTCTACAGAATATAATTTAGAATCAACTAACCTATCAACTACTTCACCAATTCATTTTACTAACTAAAACAGCACACTTAAACCAAGTATATTTGTTCAAATATAATTACATAGCACTTACTCTTCTTTCATCAACTGATTTTGCTGCAAGAATCATTCCTTCCAAACATTTTGAAATGATAGGAATAACTTTGCGTTCTGAGTCTGCAAATCCTCTGTAACACTCACTGAGTTTGATCGTCCTTCGTTCATCCATTTCTTGTAGTTGCTAACAATCAGGAATTAAAAAAAAAAAGAAAACTGAATCTTTTCTTCTTTTCATTCTGAAGCAATCCCCTCAAAAAAAAAAAAAATTAAAGATTCTATCCTAATAGTTATACTGTTGTTAATACCTTTTAACAAATGCTACAGACTTATAATACATAAAACTTGATAATATATTAAACAGCAAAAGGAAAAAAAAAAATCAGGGCTTTTAAGTACATCCTAAAACCAGGTGACACTGGTTTTCAAGCCTTCTAAAAGGAGCCCCTACAGGCCACCAGGCTCCCTTTCTCATACTACCTCCTCCTCTCATTCTTCAATCAACAATCAGTTGCTGCTTATGCTTCCAGAAGTTTTATCTGAAAACAGAATTCTGATGCTTTTTTTTGTTCTAAGCAATTGGCCTATAACATATACAAGCCTGAGATTTCTAAGCCCTTAAGTTAGTTCAGAATACTTTGGTAAGATCTGGCTGGACCAAGATCCACAGCTGACTGCATATCAACAAGTACCTAGACCTACGCAAGTCTCCAGCTCAGAGTGACTATCAAAGGGTTGGGGACACAAGAGGCAAAACATGAAGCCACAACGTCAAAGTGGTACATATATGGAATCCCTACAATTGAAAAATTCATTGGCACGTGCCACTAAGAACTATGCTGGGACACATGAAACCAAATAACTTAAAGGCACTTTTTTTCAGCTTTATTGAGGTATAGTTGACAAAACTGTAATATACTTAAAGTGCAACATGATGATTTGATATATATATACATTGTGAAAGATTCCCACCATCGAGTTAATTACCATGTTCATCACCTCATATATTTACCTTTTTTTACCCTTGGTAAGAACACTTGAGTTCCACCCTCTTAGCAAATTTCAATTATACAACATAGTGTTATCAACTATAGTCATCACCTTATACATTAGCTCTTCAGACCTTACTCATCTCATAACTGGAAGTTTGTACTCTGACCAACCTCTCCCCATTTCCCCCACCCCCAGCCCCTGGCAACCACCATTCTACTCTCTGTTTCTGTGAGTTTGACTTGTTTTTCAGATTCCACACTGGGTTACAACTGTAGTCATGAGAATTTCTGACTGTGGCTCTGCATTTGCTCTGGTTGGATATAAAAAAAGTCACGCTGTCTCCACTACCCTAAAGCAAAGGGCTAGGCTCAAAGGACATGCGAGCTATTATTGGTTTCCTGAAGCAGATGCTAAAAGATTGCCAATGAGATGGGCTTCTCAGGGTGTAATGTGTCACTCCATGTTCTGCAGCAGGAGCTGGCCAGAAGAATTCTCCCCAGTTATAGGCATTTTTTAACACTTCCTATTTCCCAATACTAACCTTGCTTTCTCCTAGGAAGTACCTACACTGCTCCAGTCCCAAACTCCCACAGCCGTGATATCACGATATCACTTTTCCCTCTTTAATTACTCTCCAGAGCCTGGGAATTTATTTTGAGGCCTGCATTTTCACAAAAGAACTGCTCCCAGCACCACAAAATAGCAAGATTATGCCATAGCAAGGGCCAACCAAAAGGATCAAGCCCCAAAACACAAAAAGTAGTTGATTCCCAAGTTAAGGTCTCCCCAGAATATGAAGGCTTAGCTAGCAAGCCTAGAAAAGCACCACAGAGTGATGACTGGCAGGCTACATGCTCTGGATCAAATGACTGGAATCTGATACCTACTCTAGTCCACCACCTCTCACTATACTTCCTTTGTACTTCTAACTTGCCTTACAAACAAAAAAAAAGTATATCTGGGCTGACACTCTTTCCACACAAGCTCCGCTCTCCCAGATCCTACTTCTTTCAACACAACTTCACTAAATTCCTTTTCTCTAATTTTTCTTCTTTCTACAATAGGCAGTAATATAATTTGAGCCTCATGTAAATTCTGGGGTCTTTACCTGAGGCTATTTGGCAACTACCATCATCAAGCGATGATGAATGGTATTTATAAGCAAATTCATAGCCTGAATTATATTTATGATCTGGCAGCTAGAAAGACAAGCAGGCAAAAACCAGACTAGCAAATACATCTTATAAGATTTATTTCTGCCACCTGACCTAATGTCAACAATTCTGGTATAGTGTCAAAAAGCTACATCCCAATTCTAGGTTGAGCAGATTACAATATACAGTTCCAATAAATTCTCCCTATTAAGCCATAATACTTAATGATACAGTATTAAAATTTATCTAGAAAATGTTGTTTTAGGGGACTGTTTATTACATGAATAATAAATAATAATAAATAATAAATCTGTAGAAAAATTTGTGATTTAGGAAAATGAGAAAGTTAGGAAAATTACTTTTCAAATCTATAATCATAAAGAAATTTCTTATCACCAAACCTGATGACTAGTGAATCTAGACACATTCTGATTGATAACTGAAATTTACAAGTTTTACATTTAAAGACTAGCTCTTCCAACTATGAAACTGGATTAATTTCATTTATCTAAATTTTACCTTGTAAATCTGAGGAATCACTACGTAGAAATGCTTGTGTTGCTCTCCATTAAAGTTCTGTAATTGTGCAGCATATTCATTTTTATTTTCATCAGCCATATGCGTACGCAGATTCAACTGCTGTTTAGCCTAGGGGCACATTTGTCCAAATCATTACCAACAAGGATAACAACCAAAAAATCATAGCTAATTCACTTTCATAAAAGTTATACTAAAACTACACTTTTTCTAACTATTGATAACTTTTAAAACTGAAGGAGATGCTCGCAGATTCTATGGTCAGAGCAGTCTTTCTACTGCAATATTCCCTTTTTCTTATTGCAACAGTCCTCCCCGTTGCAATACTCTATCCAAATAAAGTTTCTCCTTACCAAATCCAGACTTTTTAAAAAAACATTAAATGAATGTCAACATTATGGCCTGAAACAGTAAGCTTTTAATCAGAAGAGAAAACAGCATAAGGAATATTTTAGACAGTTACTAGTAAAACATTTCTTTAAACATGATCCACTTATATCTGACTCAGAACCACAGTGAAACCAAATAATGATCAAAATGTGATCTGGGGATAGTAATATTCAACAATAATTTCCATCTTTATACAAAACCACATCTCTATACTTTAAGGAATGCTTATTTAGAATACAGTTCTGTTCATCTCAAGCTCTTGTAGAAATGCTTTTCAAATGAGTCATAATAGTATCATCTACACTGGTGAGAATGTCGGAATACAAACAATACAAATCGTTAATTCTAGATTTATTGGAGAGGATTCTAAACAAATTTCTCAATTATTCTAAAGTAATAATAAAAAACAAAGTAAGAACCAAACTCAATTTTCCACAGTGTTCCAAGGAATAAATTATGTTATATGAGAGTGCTTTGAAAACTGTAAAGCACCTTGTGAATATGCTTTATTATTCTAATTCCAGTTTCTACAAATGTAGTCCCTGACCTTTTATCAGTAGGTCCACAAGTTAGTTCTTCTGAACTCAGAAACAAACTGACCTATAGAAACGCTTGGTAGCCAAGATCTCAGGTAAGCCCACAAAAATCCATTTAATCCACAGTGTACTTGAAAGTACAACAAATAAGTACTATGGAAACTAAACACCATGGCCCAAAGCTTTTCTACAGAAAAATACATTTGAAATTCCAAACTGGGGCCCTAAGTACCAATTCATTCACTCCTTCCCCTTTTCTCCCTCCTCCCACAAACTATGACGGAAGAGAAGATTCCAAATTATTCCGTTCTGTCAGGGGAAACTCCTGTTCTCCAAGTCACTGGCTGTGATTCCCAAGGTCCCGGGTGAGGGTTCCAGCAGGGTATGTAGGAGTATAAGTCTAGAAGCTAAAATAACTAAAGCCTCTACTGGCATTTTCTGGGCTTCACATTTATTGCCTTTCTTTTCTTTCTTTTTTTTAACTTTGCATTAAAATTTAAAAAAAAATTTTAATTGTGGTAAAATGTAAAATACACAATACACGTAACATAAAATTTACCACTTTAATCATTTTTAAGTGTACACAGCACATAAGTAGTGTTATAGGGGCTGGCCCCGTGGCCAAGTGGTTAAGTTCGAGTGCTCCGCTGCAGGCAGCCCAGTGTTTCGTTGGTTCAAATCCTGGGTGCGGACATGGCACTGCTCATCAAACCACGATGAGGCAGCGTCCCACATGCCACAACTAGAAGGACCCACAATGAAGAATATACAACTATATACTGGGGGGCTTTGGGGAGAAAAAGGAAAAAAAAAAATAATTATAAAAAATCTTAAAAAAAAAAGTAGCATTATGTATGTATATTCACATTGTTGTGTACCTGCCTTCCTTTTCTCTAGGAACATGAATAATTGGCCTGCTTCCTCTTCATTTCTTTTTTTGTTTTGGTAAACTTTTGTCAGTAGTTGCTTGAAACTGTGTTCCCTTCCCTCCCTCATCACTTAGAATTCCTCTGCTCTCTAGTTCCTAAAGCAAATCTTCAAAGTTTTCCTAATTCTCTAATAATTGAAGGGGCTGCAAACAAACGAGCATAAAAAAGGAGGCTGTAAACATTAAAATTCTTAAGTTAGGTCAAGCTACTAGATATGTTTTATCTAGATTTCAAGATATTTGACTAGCCTCTAAAGATATTTCTGTAGACAAAATAAAGAAATAAGTTAAATAAGAGTCCAGTTAAAGAATTTCCTTAACTTGCTGAGTATATAAACCGTGTAGTCAATGTTTGATAAGTCAAAGGAGTTCTTAAGGAGTCAATGTCAACCAGCAAGAAAGTCTCCCATCTATAAAATACTGCTATTTGCCAATTGTTATAGTCCACATTTTTATCAAATAATGATAACACATTATGTGTATGACATGATGGTAGGAAGGAAATTAATATAGTGGACGAACAAAATCAGGATCCAAAACAGCAGGATTAAATAGGATCTTAGCAGGATTCAATCTAATAATTGATACATATGCACATAGGCATTTAAAACAGCAACAGTACAAGTTCTGTCTGAGGCACACATTCTCATACCACACCACATGCAAAAAGACATGCAGATTTCAGTAAACCATGAATTTAATAGGAGTCAATCCAAACAATGTGGGTGCCCAAAAATTTAATATACACTTAGGCTACAGTTAACATAAATTTAGTGTTCAAAAAAAGAGAGGTAATCAAACTTAGGACTGATTAGACCACACCTGGATTATTATATCCAATTTGAGACGACATACTTTAAGTGAGCTACTGATGAATTAAAGGGTATCCAAATGAAAGAAGTCATAATGAAAGGTAACAAAGTCATTTCATATGTGAAACAGTTGAAGAAACATAGTATTTCATGTAGGGGTAGAGAATCTGCTACAAATATCTAAAAGGCTATTGTGAGAAAAAAACAGATTTAATATTTTTCTGGTACGTCAAAGAAACTAAAATTGAACAGGCAGACGAGTGAGGTCAATATAAGGAAATGTTAAAGTTGAAAAAGAAATGAACAGAGTGCCTCAAGACTATGTATTTCCAATGACAGGGAACTTACTGTCATTAGAGGTATAAGTCATTAAAAATAGGGCAGACAAGACATAAGCATCAAAGTTTTACCAGAAGACCTTTAAGGTAATTCTAACCTGGAATTTATATGATTTTAGGTTTGTTTTTTAATTGGTAAAGAAAATGGAGGGCAGAAAATAAATTATTCTTCTCTTCTTAGTTCTTTCTTGTTTGGATCCTAAAGGGAATTATAAAATGCTAAGGAGATAAATATAATACCGGTGGGCCTTGGTATATACAAAAATGTGGAGTAAGGTTCACCTGTATTTCAAAATTCCAAAATTCTATCACTATCACTGTGTCAAATGTTCTAAGATAAAGAGGATACAGCAGGGGAAAAGAAGAAGGAAAGCAGCAACAGTTACGGAGCTGATCCTACCAACAGTTACATTACAGAACATTTGGCCCAGAATCAGTTAGTGAGTGACAAGAGAGGGTTCAGTTTTTCAGAATGAACGAAGAAACAAACAAACAAACAAATAGCTAGTATCACATACTTCTGACAGTTTTATCATGTAAAATTGGGGAAGCACACTACCCACCCCCCATTTGCATACCCCATCAACACATCTTAGACTTTCCACCCTATTTTGGAATAGGATAGAAGTTCATTCCCAAAAGCAACTTTGTCTTTCCTATGCATTTTGATTGCAGTTAAGACATTACAATAAAAGAAATTGATGCATATTAAATACTTTCTCAGACCAATATGTGTAATTTAAAGTTCACAAATATTTGCATATTTTAGATTTAGATGTAGTGTATCTCTTGGGGAAACTCTAATACCAACATGAATATTCTAACTACTCTCCATATGCAAGTAATATTATTTTGATATCAAAGTCAGTTTGGATTATTTCTTACCTTTTCAACATCTGCCTTGGTTGCATTAGTATCATTATCCAATCTTTCATAACTCTGTTGTGCCTTTTCTGCCTCTCTACATTCTCTTTCAAATTTCTTTTTACTCTGTTAAAAAAATTAAAATATCACATTGAGAAATAAAACTAGATTTACAGTACTTCATTAAAAAATAACTTTAAGGGCCAGCCTGGTGGCACAGTGGTTAAGTGCACACGTTCTGCTTTGGCGGCCTGGGGTTTGCTGGTTCGGATCCCAGGTGCGGACATGGCACCATTTGGCACGCCATGCTCTGGTAGGCATCCCACATATATAGTAGAGGAAGATGGGCATGGATGTTAGCTCAGGGCCAGTCTTCCTAAGCAAAAAGAGGAGGATTGGCGGCAGATGTTAGCTCAGGGCTAATCTTCCTCCAAAAAAAATTAAAATAATAACTTTAAAATGTTGCCACTGTGTATTATATAGAACTGCACACTGAAAGTAAAATTTTTCTAAATTAGAAATTATACTATTACAATCAATCCATGTGCGTTAAATATCAAACATTATAGACTGTGAAGAAAAGAAAAATCATAGACATGACTGAGTTAACATTTATTAGATCTCTTCCAAACAAGAAAAAAAATCATATGTATTTTGTAATTTTCTATTATAAGCTCATCTTCAGCAGGACTTTTTTGATTTGTTTGGTGTTTTTGGTTTGGTTTTTGCATGTTTGTTTGACTGGTTGGTTTTGGTGTCTGCTTGGTTTTATTTTTTTGGTGGGATTCCAATGTAGCCTGGGATGTGGAAATGTTCCTCCAAAGTGGTTTCAAGTTGTTTCTTCCAAGTGTTCCAGGAATATCACCAGCCCAGAAGTAGGCCTTTAAAAGATTTTTTATTTCATTCAAGTTACTATGACTTTGTAAAACCTATTCACAACTGAGCCATGTAATATATACCATAATTTCCTTTCCTATATACTTTTTTTTTTATCCTGGAGTTAATGTCTTTTTTTCCCCAGTTTGCTTAATTTTCAGTGTACTTTTCTCTAATTCAACCCTGGTTTCCCCAGTTCTTTAAATCTTTCCTCAGTTAATTCAAACACGTTCAGAATTCTATCAATTTTATTTTCTTGATGAAATCTCTCCCAAAGGCTTTTCACATGCTAAAATTTGAACTGGTTACCAAACTAAGTCTAATACATGGCTGTTACCTTGGGATTTCCCTTCACCATTATCCAGGGGATTCCTTTCACCTCTCCCTTGATTTGAATCCCCTATTTCCTAGTTCCATGCCTTCTCCTTACTTGGTTCATTTCCTTATTTTGCTGGAACACATCTGGCAGTAGTTTCCTAAAAGGTTTGTGGGAGATAATTTTCTAAGTCTCCATGGCTAAAAATGCCTTTACCATCGCTTTCAATTGATAAAATACGGCTGGGTATAAAACTCTTGAGTCAGAAAAATTATCTTGCTTCACAAATGTAAACGTACTACTCCACTGTCTTCTAGCTTCCTGATCCATTCTGACTCACGATCCTTTGCATAAAATGTTTATTTTCTGTTTTGTTTTTCCTCTCTAGAGGCTGGTAGGATCTTCTCTAACTGCTCCGAAATTTCATGAAGATATGTTTTGCTGTGAATCCACTGTACTGGGCACCTGGAAAATCCTTTCTATCTGGAAACTCATGTCTTTCTGTTCTGGGGAATTTTTCTTGAATTATTTTTGTCCACTTCCTATGTTTTCTATTTTTTAGGATGCTTAATATTTTGAAAATGAACCTATCAGATAAGCCCTGTAATTTTCTTATATTTTCTCTCATATTTTCAATCTCTGTCATTTTGCTCTACTTTCGGAGAGATTTCTTCAATTTGATTCTTTCTAGTACCTTTTTCATTTCTGCTATCATAGAGTTCTCTTTTGTTCTCTGTATGTTCCCCCCCGCCCTTTTTTTTTTGAGGAAGATTAGCTGCGAGCTAACATCCACTGCCAAACCTCTTCTTCACCCACTGCTGAGGAAGACTGGCCCTGAGCTAACATCCATGCCCATCTTCCTCTATTTTATACGTGGGATGCCTGCCACAGCATGGCTTGGTAAGTGGTAGGTACATAGGTCTGTGCCTGGGATCTGAACTGGCAAACCCCAGCCACCTGAAGCAGAGTGTGCGAACTTTGCTGCACTACCAGGCTGGCCCCTGTACGTTCTTTTCTTTTTTTCTTTTTTTTTACTTTTCATTAAGATTATGATAGTTTACAACCTTGTGAAATTTCAGTTGTACATTATTGTTTGTCAGTCATGCTGTAGATGCACCCTTTCACCCTTTGTGCCCACCCCCCATGTCCCCTTTCCCCTGGTAACCATTAATCTGTTCTCTTTGTCTACATGTTTAACTTCCACCTATGAGTGGAGTCATACAGAGATTGTCTTTCTCCATCTGGCTTATTTCACTTAACATAATACCCTCAAGGTCCATCCATATTGTTGTGAATGGGACAATTTTATCCTTTTTTATGGCTGAGTATTATTCCCCTATGTTCCCTTTTTTAATAGTATCTTGTTCTTATTTCATGGGTATAAACCTTCTCTCTTCCCTTTGAGAATATTAACAATAATTTTGGGTGTTTTGATTATTTCCACATCTTATTTCCATTTCCTTTCATAGTCACTGTTTCTTCACTGTTGCTTTTGCCTTACATATTACTTTTGGTCTCTGGTGTTTACATTAGACGTTTTAAACATCTGGGGCTTCCTACCTATTTGCTCTTATTCAAAAAGCCAAGTGAAAGTTCTGCAGGTGGGACTTATGGATTATGGTCTTTTCCTCTAGGGTGATATGGCCAGACAGTTTCCTTTGAGAAACCCTGGTATCCATATCTATAAGTCTTTCCTCTCAAGTTGGTTAAAATCCCCAAGAGACTCTTCCAATTTCTTGTCTGGAAAATATACACCTTGCTACCTATATTCTGAGAATTGCTCAGAAGAAAGTAGAGCATGTCAACATTTTCTACTTACCTAACCCCATTATTAGAACCAGTTATGATCTCAATTTCTTGTCTTGGGGATTACAAAACTCTACAGATAGTGCAAATGTGGACTCCAAACTTCATAACTACAAGGTCAAAAGGTTTAAATACCTCACAGGATACCTCCCCTCCTCTGACCTTCAGATAGAGACAAATTTCTTTGATGTCTCCCTTGGCCAGTGGGCAGAGTTCCTGCAGTCCGCCTTTCACTAAAGGTTTAGTCCTTCAAAGGTTCAAACTTTATACAGGGGTCTCAGTTCCAATTCTGCACAACACACAGAGCTAAAACCTAATCTCTGTCTCTGTGAGTATTAAAACTCAAGCCCTCAGCAAGGCCTAGTGAACCACCATACCCCAACACCTCTGCCCCATACTGCAAATATGAGGTATCAGCTCATATACCTGTTGCTCAGCTTTTATTTTACCCTTAGTTTCTAGTAGCTAGAGATTTCCTTTTTCAGGTAGCTCTGCTAAGAGCTTAAAATGCAATAAAAATATTTTAGCTTTTATAGCTAGTCATTTACAGTCAAATGGTTTCTGAGTTAGCTTAGTTTGCCACGTAGCTAGAACCAGATAAACTGTAATTTACATCAAATAAATGTGCTCAGAACTTTTTAATAAAATTCTTTAAATGTACTTACTATTTTGATTAGTATTAGACATCAAACTATAATTATAATTTATTCAAAGCACATAAATGTATCTGAATATACAAACAATACAGAATGTCACTTTCCTATGAAGATTAAGATTAAATTTCCACATTTAATTCTCTGAAACTCAGTTCAGGGCTATGTTTTCAAATTGAGTAGCTATAGGCTACTAATTTTGGTGCAATCTGAGGCTTATTATATACAAAGTATTTTTAGTGTGTTATTATTTGTGGGGAAAAAAACCTACCTAATAATTTCCTTGCAATAGCAAAAAAATCACTAGTACAATAACATTAAAAATACTCCTTCTCTCAAAGATATTATATCATTATATAATACAGGAATATACTCCAGAAAAGATTTTCCTTCTTCATCCATCATGTGGCAGACTAAACAACAACTTCTTCTACTCGTCCATCCTTTCTTAGAAGAGTGCACCATCCCAGTATAGAGGCAGAAAACAGTTGATACTTGCTTTACCAGCTTCCCCACAGCTGGGGCATGGATAAGTAATCTAATCCTGTCAAAGGCACCCATGAGGAAGTCTGCTGGGGGTTTTCTGGGAAAGTTTTCCTTCGCTGATAATAAGGAACAGTTAGAAGAGAAATGTTCCCTTTTCCTGCTTCTGCATGCAGCTGAATGAGGATGTGGTACTTAGCTGCTTAAGTTAACTGATGACCATAAAGGGTTGTCTGAGGAAAAAAGCCAACACGATCAAGATGGCAAAGCAGACAGACAGAAAGGAGAGGCAGCCTTGGTAACATCCCTGGTCAGAGCTACTGACCAACTCTGGAACTGTTCCATTTCCAAGCCCTGCTCTTATAAACTGAGATGCTCTGTTAATTGGAGTCACCTAACGCACAAACCTGGCATCTCTGACGCCTCTATCTTTTTAATCTCTGACCAGTCCTCCAAAATCTTCTTCCCAGGCTACTCTCTTTTGCCCTCATCTTAAATGTCAGTGCTGCCTATTTTGTTTATCCTGGGGTTAATAGTTGTCTTTTAAATTCTTTTTCTCAATTTTCAATATTCTGCCACTAATTCAACCTGTCTCTCCCAGTTCTTTAAATCTCCTCTCAATTATTTCAAACATATCAGCAATTTTATAATTTCGTTTTCTCAATTAAACAGGAAGACATGGAACTAGGAAATAGGATCCTGTACATATTTGTACCTGTTACACAGAAATTATAGTTGCCTGTTTCCTTCAGTAGACTGCAGGCTGCACAAAAACAAGAACCATATCATATTCACTTTTTTACCAGGACTCAGTACATGTGAAGGATGCCTTCAGTAAACACGAGTTGAGCTGAACTCACCTTTATTTCATGTTATTGTTAATGCCTTAAAGAAATCTCTCCTACATTTTCTGATGCTTCTTTCTTACGACCTCTATAACTTTTGCTTAATAACTGCCAATTGTTCTAAAGGCAAGTCAGCACATATTAACAGGAAAGATTTGTGCCAATACCAATTTTTAAAGGGACCAATGACTCATAAGTGTAGGAGTATGTTATTTTGTGCAAATGAAAACATACATATACACACACCCTCATTAGGTGGCAGACACTAAGGATGGTAGTTAAGGCAATTTAAAATTTAATAAATGTAACCACTCCCTAAAAGTCTTGCTGAAACTAATTAGAAAGAAAATCAAAACAAAAAATAAAAATAGACTATTAATACACCTAAAAATTCTCAATTAGCACTAGTGATTAGAATCTTACATCATTAATGACAGTTATATAGTAGAAATTTAATCTAAGCTTTGAATATGTGTTTTTAAAAAGGAAAGAAAAAAGGCTAAAAAAATGCAGGCTAACGCATGAGGTTTTTTTTTTAATCTCAAACTTAAAAGTCCTTTTCCCAGCAACCACAAACTAAACTGATTAATTTAACATGCACAACTGCCTTCAGCATAATTTTCAGGGAATACACAGTGCCCATCATAAAAATATGCAGGTAAAGAGTAAACTGATTGCTAACCTGAGGGTTCAAAAAGAATATTAATCTTATACTACAGAACATCATCTGGTAGACTATTTTAAGTAAAGGAGACAACAATGTTCCATGTAAACATCTTGCTTTTCAAATAACTGTATGCCAGAACATTTAAGAAAAACAACATTAATATCTACTCTTGGAAAGTTTATAAAGTAAATAATTATTACACTTTCAGAGTTTTGCCCTATAAAATACTTTATTTCCTACAATGAGATGGTCTAGTACCAGCACCCCAATACTAGGAACATTTGCATTTCATAGAAATCACTGAACTGGAAGAAACATTTCATATAATTTAGTCCACTGTCTTCATTTTTCATAATAAAAATGAAGTCAAGAGAAATGAGCTGCTAAGGAAAAGATAGAACTGGAATCTAGGTCCTCTCAGCCTCAGTCAAACGGTCTTCTAAGATATATCACTATCTCTCTAACATGTCTATCCTCCATCAGTATTTTATAGTAACTACTGCAAAGTCAAAAAGAATTTTCCTAAATGTTTACAATTATCTGAAGATTATAGATTTGGTACAATTATAGAACCATATAGGAAAGAAAAATGTCAAAATGATTTCACGTTCTCTATGTATACCAATGGCTAATTATGAATAAAACATTGAGAAATACTGAACTCAAATAGACATGAAGCAGAAGAGAATTTAGGTCTAAACTAGTCCACAAAATTTTATGTTAACCATGAAAACATTATAACTCACATTATCCATCTGTTTCCAGCACATGTCAAGGTATTGTTGAGCTTTTCGTCCCTCTTGAAGATGCTGAAGATCATAACAACCAAGAAAACAAACAAAAAATTACATTTAAATAGTAAATGAAGTCTAAAGTCCCCAAAAGAATTTACTTTTTTTTCAAGGTACTAATTATATAACTTTATCAAGACTTAGGGAGAGATTATTAGTAAAGCAAAGCTCTCTAAAATGCATTTTATAGGGTATTATTTGAATAGTTTAAATATAACCTTTAAGATAGATATAATCTCTAGGAAAATACATGATTGTCTTGAATAGGGGTTGACAAACATTTTCTATAAAGTGTCAGATAAATATCGTAGGCTTTGCAAGCCACAATGTCTCTGTTACAAATATTCAACTCTGCTGATGCAATGCAAAAGCAGCCACAAGCAATACATCAGTGAATAAGTACGGGTCTGTTCCAATAAAACTTTATTTATAGTCACTGAAATTTGAATTTCATATAGTTTTCACATGTCATGAAATATTATTCTTCTTTTGATTTTATTTTCAACTATCTAAAAATGTAAAAAACATTCTTAGTTCGTGGGAATTAAGAAACAAAAACAGGCAGTAAGCTAGATTTGGCCCATGGGCTGTAGTTACCAAACCTTAGTCTTAAATCCAAAAAGATCATAAATTAGCAGGAGAATCTTGAGATAATTTTAGTTAGAAGAAATTTGGTGAAATAGAAAACCAGTTTACGCTGAACATACATTATTTTTAAAAAGCAAACTACTTCATTTCTGTGAAAATATTTTATATATTATAAATGGATAAAAATAATAAGAATTACCATTTTTCTTTCAGTTTTCAGATCATGAGCATATCTCATTAATTCACCATAAACTCTGTGCGCCATTTCTTCTGCTACTACTTCTCGCTGTCCTGCATAGTCATTTAACTCGTTAAGGATGTTAAAAAAGGCTATACACGAGGTAAACCTGACAAAAACATATTAAAAAATGGTGAAATTTATTTTTATTTTCATTATAAATGTTTCTTATGAGGTATGGCTTGAGCTTGATGCTTGATAAATTTTAACATACTCAATCCTAAATCTCAGCTACTAGCTCTAAATTAACTTTGTATGCAAAGAATCCTGCATTAAGCTCAAGTTGTGCATGTTTGTAGATCTTCAAGTAGTCTTACTTTTTAAATAAAGGGATATTTGAGGTCAAAAATAATAGGAATACTACCTGCAGGCTCTTTTGGCATACTGGATCTCTTAAGTTGCCAACTGACTGGCCTGGGCTTGGGAATGAACTTGGTTGGATTCCTAGGCTTGGCAGCTGAACCTGTTGCAGAGATGATGTGCTTGCTCTCGAGGACAGAACCTGCCAATCATACCACTCAAATGCATCTCGATGGCTGATCTACAGAAAAACTTTGCTATCAGCTCTGGACACAGCTGCCTGTATACCTGCCCACATCCTGAATGGAAGTAAAGTGCCATTATAATTGACACCAAAGGAGGGTAAGAAGGGGCAAAAATAAGGGTAAAAATATGTGTGTGGAGGGAAGGAGAGAAACAAAGAGAATCACTGTATTAAAATGTATAAATCTATTTTGAATACACTGCCAAACATTCTTATAGTTGAAGGCAGACAGCTCAGATAGGACTACATTAACACTAAACCTGAGAATCCTAACAACTGACAACTATACACAAAGTCATTAAGTCTAGTCTCTTTTTGTTTCTGCATTTTATAATCATCCACCTATCCCTGTTTAAGATGGCCAAAAAGCTCATAGGCAACTCCCAACCTTTACTCAGGGTTCCAAAATTACCCTGAGAAAATCTCATTCCTTTTCATTATCTCTTTAAACCAATCAGCCAAATTGTTTTACTACCTCTAAGAGTAAAAGCAAGAATCTAACAAGTTGAAAACTACAAAATAAAGTATGGAAAAAATACCCTTTTCTTCTGGAGACTAAATCACTCTAGTGGAGTCCCAGTCTACATCTTACTTGGAAACCCACACTGCAACTCTTCTTGAAAACTATTATCAAGCCCACTTAAGCATTCATCCTTATAAGAATAAACAGCAGTTCCCTTTTTCATAAACACCATAATTTTTTACTAAAACAAACTTTTAAACAATCTTTATTAAAAAGCTAACAGCATATTTATTTTACTAAATAACAAAAACATAAGTATTATTTAAAATTTTAATATGCAACAATAAACAAGTATATAATTTACCTTGGCTCTTCATCTTTGGAGGAACGTTTGGGACAGTACTTCTTAACCAGATTTCTATAGGAAGAAGATTTTTTTTCACTTGTAAAAAATACTGTTGTTGAAATTAAAATATTCTAAAAGTTTCCAATTTCATTAAATCAAGGATTTAATGATATACAATTAAGACAGCAGTGTGATCATCTACTAACATTATAATAATATATGACCATTACTTACATTTTGTTCTTAAAATACTGACACTTGTAGAAAGAAATGTTATTTCTGTGTTTCTGTGTTTATGAGTGTAATCTAACAATTTGGTCAATTATGCTATCAAATAAGAAAAGAGATAAGAGGAAGAATAAAGAAACAAAGCAATCAGTATGTGAACCTGAGTCAGGGCAGAAAAATTCATATTTCAAAGAAATACCATCGTTATTTTGTTTTGCAAATCAGAGATTTTAATGCTAACTAAAGTAAAATGTAAACAGATGCAGACTCACTAACAGGATAAAAGAACAGTTGGTCAGCATCCTCCGTAAGCTCTACTTTTACATGAAAATCATTATGTGATCCTTAACCTTCTTTTTTCAGGCAAATGAATTACAATCGGATTTGTAACTTTCTCTGCCTTCATCTACGTCAGTTCTTGACAGTCTCAGATTAGAATGCTACCCCATTTCATCTATGCAAAATCAGAGGCAGACCAGCACATGGACTCTGCAGTCACACTGGACTACCTGGGTTTGAATCCTAGCTGTTTTGTGTGGCATCTATGCGACCTTGGGCAATTTACTAACCCTTTCTGTGCCAAGTTTCCTTTAAATGGTGATACCAGTACCTACCACAGAGGGTTATAAGAACTAAAGTGGATGACATTTGAAATGAAAGCATTTGCCATAGTGCTTTATACCCATGCTCCTCATAGTATGGTCCATGGACCAGTGAAGGTCCAGAGACTCTTTGTTACCAATGCATAACAAGCTAAGTACAGAAGTTGAAAGTAATTTTATGTCTGTTGAATCTAATAATAAAAAATGAGAGCCTGTAATCTGTATGTCTCTTTTTATGTCATTTTTTCTAGTATTAAAATTTTATTGATTTTATAAACGCATCAGAACCCAATGGATTGGAAACTTACAAAAAAACTAGTTCATCATCACAAATAATTTGAGATGCAATGCTTTAAAGTATAAGCATTTTTATGATAAATGGTCCTATGGTCTTTGAAATAAGTACTATAAAAGAATCACTGTCTTGATTATTCTCAGATTATTATCAATTCATCCCACTTACTCAATTCAGTTTATTCATTCTACAAACAATTGTCTACTATGTGCTAGGCACTGTGCAAGTAACCGTGCACATCAGATATGAAAGAGTACCCACACTCAGGAGACTTACACTCTATTAAAAGAAGACAAGTGTATACCAATAATTACAACATACAACATGATAAGTGCTACAATAAAGTTAAGCAAATGGTGCGATAACAGAAAAGAAAAGGAAGCCCTAAAACCCTAAGGAGTAGCGGAAAGAACAAGAAAGACACTAAGAGTCTGGATCAACATTTATTGAGTTTTTGCCATTAAGAAACTCATAGTCGTCAGTGGTTGTGAAGTAAGGTACAAGAAGAAAGCCTTAGGTTTATTTTTTTTATAATTTTTTTTACCGAAAGCTTTAGCAATATTTATCATATTAGTACACTAGCACATGCACATAATTTATAAATAACTGTGTGGGCACGTGCTCAAACAATTTTTATAGATGAGCAATAAAAAGTTCAGAGACCACTGGCCTACAGAGATTCAAATACATAAAACACCTTTACATACCATAACATGGTAAGAACAACAGAGGGCTCTGGACAGGGGCTTCTCCAGACGAGGAAGGTTGAAATTTCTAATTTCTTAACTTACCCTAAAGAGGTAAGCAGGAATTGAGCAACTGAAAAGCCCTGAAGGGATTCTAAATAGAAAAGATCTAATGAGCAAAGGCAAGGAAGTAAGAGAAAGAACGGCTTTTCTGAAGAACTGTGAATGGGTTCAGTGCTGCTGGAACATGAAGTGTGAGCCAGAGAATGGCAAGCAGTGAGGTTGGGAAGACAGATGAAGACAGCAGAGGCCCTTCTTAAGTCATATTAAGGAACTCTAAATATTCTTAATCGGTGGTTCTTAATCATGGTTACCTGAAACACCACCAAAAACCATTTTTGTGGACAAATTATCAATTCAAATATCACCTAATCTTCTATGTGCCACACATTAATTATTTCAGGTACTACACTGACAGAAAGAAAGGAACGAATCATAGCTAACAAACTAATACTGTGCATGACCTACATCCTTTCTAAGTAAAAACTCAAAAGGGAAGATGGAGAAGAGATGATGTATAACTCAAGAAGTTAATTAGAATAGGCAAATCCACAGAGACAGAAAGTAAATTAGTGGTTGCCAGGGCCTGCGGGAGGGGTGAATGGGGAATGACTGCCATGGGTAGAAGGCTTCTTCTTGGGATGATGAAAATTCTAAAGTTAGATAAGGGTGATGGTTGCACAACTCTGTGAATACACTAAAAAACCACTGAATTGTATACTTTAAAAGGTTAAATTTTATGGTATGTGAATTATAAAGCTGTTAAAGGAGAAGGAACGGCTGTTGGATAAGCATTCGTCTGATACAGGTACATCAAACTCAACAACTCTAAAATGGAATTTATCTTCTTTTATTATTTTGTTATATTAATAACCTTACTATTTTGTTATATTAATGGCACCATGATCCACCCAGATATTTAAGCCAAAAATCTGGCAATCATCCTACACATTATCAAGTTTCTCTCACCTTAAGGTGTTCAAGTCCTATCGATTTTATTTCCTAATAAACTTTAACTTTTTTTTAGTGATAATTTTTACAATAAAAAGGAAAAAATACAGAAAAATGAGCCCCTTTTTCAGACTTTTTTACTGCTTTGGATACAAATGTGTGAGGACAAGATGACTGAAGATACTTCAACATCTTGCAGCCATAAGCAGGAACACCAAGGAATTCACAAAAATGCCCTGACATCACTAAGCTCTGGAATCCCGTTTCCAAACTTCCTGTTATGTGAGAGGATTCTTACTTGAAGCTGAATGCTTCTTAACTGACACTACAGTAATAGCTAAGTAAAAACGTCCAAATAGACAAATCTAGTAAAAATTGGAACTCTGAAGAAACTTCTGGGATCAAGATATAGATGTGACACAGACTCAACATGTGTAAGGACAATAACAAAAACAACAGGAGCTACTCATTTGTCAACCTATATTCTTTGCCAATCTCGATGCTAAGCGCTTTACATATAATCTTATGCTTACAACAAATCTGAAAGCAAGTGTTATTAGCCCTGTTTTACAGAACTGAAACACATTAGGTAACTTGCCCATGGTTACATAGCTAGTAAAGGACAAGGCCAAAACCCAACTCACATCTGATTCCAACACCTGAGACAGTTAAAATAATGAACGAGAATGAGGCTACCCAAGAAGTATGAAATGAGAAGGTAGCCAAAGATAATCTAGTAATATACATTTAGCAGGGAAGGAAGAAGAGCTGCTTGAGAAGAGCAATAAAGATGAGCAGTCAGGTAGACTAGAGGTAAACTATGGCCTGCCCAGCTGCCTGTTTTGTAAATAAAGTTTTACTAGTACACACCACTCTCATTCGTTTATGTATTGTCTATGGCTGATTTTACACTACAACAGCAGAGTTGAGTAATTGTGACATATTTATCCGAAAATTTATTCTCTGGCACTTTATTTAAAAAAGTTTGTCAACCCCTAAGATAGATAACTCAGAAAACCTAAGAAAGTATATCAGTGAAGATGAGGGATTTTTTTTTAAGTTCTAAAAAGACAGAAATAGTCAATTCACCAAACAGATACATTAAAACTGGTACCAAAAATATCCACGGAATTAGCAATTGCAAGGTAACTGATTAACTTATTAGCTAGTGTGGTTGTAACAACCACAGTCTCCAATCTATATAAATGGGTGTATTCTAGAAATTACTTTCAAGGTCAGTGATTTTCAACCATGAATTACTTTAAATAAAAACAAGTAAACTTGGGCAAAGAACATTTCAAAGAGCAAGTATTTTCAAACTCTGAATGTATTTTTTTTTTTTTTTAAAGATTTTATTTTTTTCCTTTTTCTCCCCAAAGCCCCCCGGTATGTAGTTGTGTATTCTTTGTTGTGGGTTCCTCTAGTTGTGGCATGTGGGACGCTGCCTCAGCGTGGTCTGACGAGCAGTGCCATGTCCGCGCCCAGGATTCGAACCGATGAAACACTGGGCCGCCTGCAGCGGAGCGCGCGAACTTAACCACTCGGCCACGGGACCAGCCCCTCTGAATGTATTTTTGTATATCAACATTTTAAGCATTGTTTAGAGTTCTAGGCTGTAGTAGACATCTGTTGTTTTGCCCACCTGCATCACTCACTACCCTTCTTTCTTTTGGAACAGCTTGTGACAGACACATTTCTGCTCATCAAAAACCATGTTATTTCGTACATATCCCAGGGGCCTTGCAGTTAGGCGGGACCACATGGCTAATGCTGTAGAACGCACTGTAAGCTCTGTGTAACTACCCGGCTGAAGCATTAAGAGCTCGTGCATAACCCTCTGGGCTCCCTCATTCCCTGCTGAAGCAACTGTGGAGGCTTCACGTTGACATGAACAGATGAAGATAGTCTGGAATCTTATCTTACCACATGGGCTACCCTAGAGAGGCATCACCCGGACCTGTGGCCAACTTTGCACAAACAAGTGGTAAGTTTTTGCTGTGTAAAGCCCCTGGGACTTGGGAGTTATTATTCTAATACAGCCTAATATATCCTAAACTACAGCTCCTTCCATGTC